CACACACACACACACACACACACACACACACACACACACACACACACCTGCCCTCCACTGTTTAGTGTACATGAAACCTGCTGAGTGGTTGTGTGTTTGTGGGGTGTTCAAGGTCACTGCTCTCCTCCACATGCTGGTTCTCTGCACAGCAGCTTATAATTTAATCCCCTTAACTCCTGGTGTGTCTGTGTGTGATGCTTGTGAGGTCACATCAAGGTAGCAAACACAAAATCCTGGCTGCTGGACGGACAAACAGACAAAATTAGGTTGGAGGGCTAAAGCTTGGAGGGAATAAGTGATTTAAAGCGGAGAGATGTGGGAATTTTGCTAAATAATATCAAACCTGGATGCTGATGTTCTCTTCTGCAATCTTAAATCTACGTCTGACTCATTTTTGAGACTAAATTTGGAGATTTTTATTTTTAAATGGGACAACTTAACTCTTCCGTGCGGAACGAGGCCGAGGAGCATCCGGCCGTCCACCACGGCTCCTTCCTGCAGGCTCGCTGCGATGAGGTGCTGGTCACCAACGACTGGTGCCTGCCGCTGGTGTTAGCTCTGCTGCTGCTGCTCCTGGTCTACACCTTCCTGTACCTGCCCTCTCTGGCACACCACAACACCACCCTCTGACGGATCCAAACATGGAGCAGGGCGCTTCGATGGTAAACATTTAGGACAGTGGATATAGGCTGAACTGTTCTTGGATCTGATTGGTTGGATTTTGATGTAGTTTTAGCAGCAAGGAGAAACGAGGAGCTGGAACCGATGCCTGCAACAACACAGAGCTTCTGTTTAACGTCCTCATGCTCTGCAGATGAACGAGACACTCCTAAATATGAAGTCCTGTTGGAGTTGTCCTCAGATTTTCTAATTGATAATAACTGACGTGCTAAATATAAGTAAATTTGTTTCACATGTTTCTAGGCGTGTTGAGGAGGTGGCGTGGTTTCCAGGACTGCCGCCGCGCCGCCAGCTCACCTATCAGGCGAAACAAACCATCAGCAGAGAGATGGAGCGGGAGAAGATGAGGAGAGCCGAGCAAATGATGCTGCAGCGAAACCCCGTCGCGGTGAGGCGTCAAACGGGTCGAGGGTTGACAGAACACGGTGCGGTCTTTCATGCTTGTCTGTGTTTATGATCTGCTGTGTAACTTGTGTTGCAGAAAGAGGAAGGAAAGAAGATTGCTGGTCCAAAACCGACCAGAAACCATCAGCAGAGGCTGGAGAACATTGTCAAACAGACCACAGTGGAGGCCAGAGTGAGACACAAAATACATTGTTGGGTTTTTTACACTTACTGGTGGATGTTTTCTCACCCAACCTGTTTATTTTAGGGAAATGTGTGGCTTATTTGCTGGCAGCTGAAACTTCCTCCAGATAAAAATAAACTGAGCTGAATGTTTGAAAAGTGTTCATCTGCTTCAGAGTAGGTGCAAAAATTCAGGAAGCAAACAAAAGGATTACAGTATTTTGTGATAACAGAAATGTGAATTTAAACTGAATTTATAATTATTTTTAGCAGGACATGTTGGTCTCACACTTGATGGATTGAAGTTTGTCATTTCATGTATTTTTTTTTTTTATCAAAGTCAGTAAAAGTGTGGTGTAATTAGTAATTTCAAAGTACGCTAAACTAGAGAAATCGCATTTCCTGCGAAAATGCAGTATGAATGCTTATTGCTGAAGAAATTGCTTTAAAAACAGCTGAAATTAGCTAAAAATAACATGCTGAAATGTAGCTGAAATGGAATAACAAGCCTTAAGTTAGCAGAAGAAAGCAGAAAGAACACATAATTGTATCAGGTCTCCTTTGTAAATGAGTCCCCGAGGCTCAGTGGGATTAACCTGTCTAAATAAAGGTCGAATGAATGAAAAATTGCTAAAGTGAGTTTAAATAAACAGAAATGAGCACCAAAATTAGGAAATTCGCTAAAAATATAGCTGAATTTATATTATATTCGTTCATTACACACAGACTGATATATTTTAAATGTTTATTTATTTTAATGTTGATGCTTATAACTGACAACTAATGAAAACCCCAAATTCTGTATCTCAGAAAATTAGAATATTACTTAAGACCAATAAAAAAGTATTTTTAGAAATGTTGGAAAAGTATGAACATGAAAAGTATGAACATGAAAAGTATGAGCATGTACAGCACTCAGTACTTAGTTGTTGCTCCTTTTGTCTGGATTACTGCAGCAATGCGTCGTGGCATGGAGTCGATCAGTCTGTGGAACTGCTCAGGTGTTCTGAGCCCAGGTTGCTCTGATAGTGGCCTTCAGCTCTTCTGAATTGTTGGGTCTGGTGTATCACATCTTCCTCTTCACAATACTCCACAGATTTTCTATGAGGTTAAGATCAGGCAAGTTTGCTGGCCATTTAAGAACAGGGATACCATGGTCCTTAAACCAGGTACTGGTAGCTTTGGCACTGTGTGCAGGTGTTGAGTCCTGTTGGAAAATGAAATCTGTATCTCCATAAAGTTGGTCAACAGCAGGAAGCAGGAAGTGCTCTAAAACTTCCTGGTAGACCGCTGCTTTGACCTTAGACCTCAGAAAACACAGTGGACCAACACCAGCAGATGACATGGCACCCCAAACCATCACTGACTGTGGAAACTTGACACTTGACCTCAAGCAACATGGATTCTGTGCCTCTCCTCTCTTCCTCCAGACTCTGGGACCTTGATTTCCAAAGGAAATGCAAAATTTACTTTCATCAGAGGTCATAACTTTGGACCACTTAGCAGCAGTCCCAGGTGAGATGCTTCTGATTCTGTCTCTTGTTCAAGAGTGGCTTGACACAAGGAATGTGACAGTTGAACCCCTTGTCTTGCATATGTCTGTGCGTGGTGGTTCTTGAAGCACTGACTCCAGCTGCAGTCCACTCTTTGTGAATCTTCCCCACATTGTGGAATGGGTTTTGTTTCACCATCATCTCCAGGGTGCAGTTATCCCTATTGCTTGTACACTTTTCTACCACATTGTTTCCTTCCCTTCACCTCTCTATTAATGCGCTTGGACACAGAGCTCTGTGAACAGCCAGCCTCTTTAGCAATGACAACGGTCAAGTCAGCAGTCTTCCCCATGCTTGTGTAGCCTACAGAACTAGACTGAGAGACCATTTAAAGGCCTTTGCAAGTGTTTAGAGTTAATTAACTGATTGGAGTGTGGCACCAGGTGTCTTCAATATTGAACCTTTTCGCTATATTCAAATTTTCTGAGATACTGAATTTGGGGTTTTCATTAGTTGTCAGTTATAATCATCAACATATAAAGAAATAAACATTTGAATTGTATCAGTTTGTGTGTAATGAATGAATATTATATAAAGTTTCACTTTTTGAATGGAATTACTGAAATAAATCAACTTTTTCATGATATTTTTATATTATGACCAGCACCTGTACTATTTTATGTCTGTTTTGTCACCTGTTCATTTATTTGCTGCTGTCTGTAGGCATGTGTGTACACCACACACACACACACACACACACACCAAAAGAGCCCACATTTTGTTTTTTCTCTCAAACTCCTGCTATCGATGTGTAAATGAGCATGTGCCACAGCTTCTCAGTGTAGGTGTGTTACATTGAATGCTGCAGGTCGAGACTAAGATTATTTTGGGGAGCAAAGTAATTTCCACAGCCTTAGTCTTCAGTTTAAATGGACTATACGTCTATAGCACCTTTCTATCTAATCAAGATACTTAAAGCACTTTATAACGTGTGCCCTCATTGACCTCCGGTGCGCTTCACTGACCCCTCCCTTTCTCTTGAAAATCTGTTTTAACCATCCAAAATCACATTTTTGGATCGTTAAAAGCAGCTAAACTGAGAAGCTAAGCTACGAGCTAAGCTAACAGTCTGACTTCGGGAATAAACCTACATCTTTTCGAAGCTCCAAAATTCACGGTTGAAACCCGTGCCTTCATGTAAAAAGTTGTTTTTCTCTGCAAACAGAAGCTGAGAACTTGTTTAATGATGTTTTATTAAAAGCTTTGTGTGAAAAATGTTATGCTAAGGACCTCAAATCACTGAGCGTCAGCCATGTCACCATGTCTGCCCATATCGTCAAGGGCCCTCGCTCCCATTTTTCTTAAAGAGACACCTGCTCAACTATCCATCCTTTGGTTCAAACAGTCTTATGCTGCCATCAGGTGGTCAAAAAAGGTACTACACTCCAAACAAATCAACATTTCTTCTAAAATGTTACAATTAATTATTGTTAAATTTCAAACATTATTATCGTTCATCGCAATAATTTCTGAGACACTTAATCGCCCAGCAAAATGTGTTCTCGTGACAGGCCTAACTGTAATGTTTTCAGGTTACCATGCAGATAGTGTGTTGCTGAGTGCATTAAGAACTGGGGTTGTGTGTTTTTGTTACCGCGCCTCCCACAGAGTGTGTGTTAATCAGAACTAGAAGGAGCAGAACTATCAGAACCTCTGAGAGATCTCGAGTGATGCTATCGTTCAGGAGTCAAAAGATTTGGGCTCTGGGGGGGCAGAAATCAGGACAATGAGAAAGTACAGTCCCTTATGGTGAAACTTAGAAATTAGGCTAATTAGAGAGGTGGTGTGTGTGTGTGTGTGTGTGTGCGTGCGTGCACTGGGTGAGGGGGGGAGGGGGTATTCACTGACCTTGTTAGAGACCATGTGTGTTTTAGTAACTTCCTAACTTAGTAAAACAATCTGTTTGTGTTTTTGTACTCTGCAGCCTGAGGTGGACTTCTTCGGTCGAGCTGTCGCCCCCAAAGCTCAAAGAGCACAACCGTCCTTGGACACAGGTACTGTGGGGGCGCTCTGCAGGGAGACACTGGTTTAGCTTCATTTATTCACACCCTCGGGGGGCCGTTCATGTAAAAACGCCTCTCGACACATCAGATCCGCACTGAGCAGACGAGGTGAAGGACGTGCGTTACATAATGTTTCTAATTTCGTGCTCTTGTGGCTGCACGGCTGACTTCGCTTTACGTTTTCTTCCTTTCATGGATGGATGTCTGTAAGGCCCGGACAGTTCTCTGTGGTTGCACCAGTTTAAAACTGCCAACTTTCCTGAAAATCAATTTATCAAAAAGGACGGAAAAAGCAAAACTGCGGCTGTTTGTAGGTCCAACCGGAACCGTTGAGCTAAAACGGGCACTTCCCCAAACCCCGGAGTGTCCTGTTGGCCTTGTTGCTCTCACACAGCCTCGTTTCAGGACGTTGACGTGTTTCTGTGACATTCAGCTAGGTTGCTGTGGTTTTCAGCTGACTTTTGGTTTTATAATAAATTGGGAGGTCGTTGTTCTTGGTGAACGGTTTTTCAATTCAACCTTTATTTATACGTTTGTCTCACTGAGCCTCGAGGACTCATTTCTAGTTTTAATTGTTAGATGCAGCTCTTTTTAGTGACGATAAACTAAAACAACAAAAACAACCGTCTGCATCAGAACTCCATTCAAACATGTCTGCTGCGGAGCTTCGGCTGATAGTTTCCCTCAGCTGTTAAACTTTTTCAGCCTGAGCCTCCAGATTAAAGAAACTCTGTTATTTTTGTTTAAATGAGAACTGAATTAAAGAGTTCAGATCTTCTGAGGTGGGGTTCTGTGGAAACGCCATCAACAAATTATTACCTCTTGTAGATGGCTCTTTGAACCACCTCAGATTAGGTAATCTGTTTAATCTGGATCAAACTGACATGTAAACAGCTAGTCTGAACAGAGCCGAGACAAAAGTGGATTCTTAGAAATTTTATATATGGTCTTTTGAAATCCCTTTTCGTCTTCGTCAACTTTTTTTTTTTTCCAGATGTATTTTTTGCTGAATTTTATGTTTAATACTGAAACCTCAGTTCTTCATCTAAAATGTTTTATTATATGGTGGATTAATAAATTTATATAACATATACATTTGTGTATAAACCATATTTTAGCGTTTTTAAAAAGAAAACTTCCTAAGGTGTGTTTCATAAAATAAAGATGCTTCATATAGCCTTAAAAATCACAGTATTTTGTAGTTAGTACCGTACTTTCTGCCGTACAAGTCGCACCGGTGTATAAGTTGCAGGACTTGCACATTCATGCAAAAAGGTGCGACTTATATGGCAGAAAATACGGTACATAAAATATAACATAAAACTATTGTATTATAATTGTGTTATATTTGTTTCACAGATGAGGAAGAAGAGGATACTGTTGTTTTGTTAACATTTATGACTTTTTTTTTTCATTAGAAGTTGTACTGTACAGTGTTCAGCTTGATTGAGACCAAACTTCACTAAAACAGGCGTAGATTAATTTTTTTATAATGGGATGTCTTCATTCCACACGTGGCTACAAACTCTTTAAGCCATAATCCCTCTCAAAATAAGCAATTGGTCAATGTTTGTGATTTGAACTTTTTGTGTCATTTCTAATAAAATTAGAGAAATTGCATTTCCTGTGAAAATGCAGTGTGAATGCTTATTGCTGAAGAACTTGCTGAAAAGCAGCTGAAATTAGCACAAAAAGCTGAAAAGTACCTGAAAAGACAGAAAGAAGCTTAAACTACCAGAAGGAAGTGAAAAGAGCTGAAATTAGCTAAAAAAAAGAAATAAAAAAAAAGGAATTGGCTGGAAAAAAAAAAAAAAAGCATAAAACAGCTAAATAGTAGCTGAAATAACTGAAACTAGCAGAAATATGCTGAAAGCATAGCAATATGAAATTAGTAGAAAGAAGTTAATTAGGTTGAAATTAGCAGGTTACCACAAAAAACTTGAATTTATCTGAAATTGGCTAAAAATACTAAAAAAAAAAAAACTAGTTGAAAAGTTAGAACAAGCTTAAATTAGCAGAAGAAAGCAGAAATAGCATGTTTCCCCAAATGGGCTGAAAGAAGCAGAAATGAGCAGGAAAAAAGTGGAAATGATCTGAAAAAAGCTGAAATTAGCAACAACAACAACAAAAAACAGCTGAAAAGTAGCTTAAAAAAGCAGAAAGAAGCTTAAATGTCCAGAATCAAGTGGAGAGAGCACATTTTTGCTGAATTAGACTGATTTTTTTTAATTAGTGCAAAAAATTGAGGAATTAGCTGGAAAAGCTCAAATTAGCATGAAAACAGCTAAATAGTAGCTGAAATAGCTGATACCTCCAGAAAGGAGCTGAAAGGAGCATAACAAGCTGAAATTAGCAGAAATAAGTTAGAAGAAGCACAAAATGTTGTAGTTAGCAGAAAGAATCTGAAAGGAGCACAAAACGGCTAAAAAAAAAAAAAACCCAGCTGAAATTAGCTGAAAAAGTTTAAATTTGCACAAGAAGCTGAAGCAGAACAAAATGTGAAAGGAGCAGGAAAAGGTTGTAAACAGATGTGAAGATTTGAAGGATGTAAAATGAGCTGAATTCATTTTCTGTGAGAAAAAAATGGCAGAAAAGGCTAAATATTTCAAAAAGCTAAAGCTGCACCAAAACCAAAAGTCAAAGCAGGATTGTCTTGAAAGAGCTGAACGTTTTGATTTAGGATTTGTTAAAATAGCACAAAAATTGCGAAATGAGAAAGATGCCGAAAAACGGATCTCCTAAACATTCACACAATAATAAACATGTAGCATTCACCACCAAAGCTCTGCCACAAAATTCGCAATGAATGAGCAAAATCAGCAGATGTTTTGTTGCCAACAATTACGAGTTGCTCGTTTACATTTGAACATTGACGAGTACTTTTTGGACAGTCAGACGCGACAGACATTGTGTCGGTAAAATAAACCTTTTTACAGAACCCCCTTCAACACATCCGGTGTTTAGTGTTTTAAAAACTCTTCTTCTCTTCGTAGGAGAGAAATGTGCCGTTCTTGCCATGGGGACGGCAGTGGGCAACAGTGACGTATGGTTCCGCTTCAACGAGGGCATGTCCAACGCAGTCAGACGAAACGTCTACATCAGAGAACTTCTATAACACACACACACACACACACACACACACACACACACACACACACACACACACACACACACACACACACACACACACACACACACACTGTCCTCTGTATTTGTACTTCCTGTACTGTTTGAATCCACACCAATCCAGAACCCTTGTGTTAGTTTAAAACAGTCTTTATTTCATTTGACGGTGTAAAGAGCCAATAAAAAGAACATTGTTGAAACTTTTAGAAAGCTACTCAGTGCTTTACACTCACTCCAACACACACACACACACACACACACAGGGCTTCACGTCAGGTACCAGCATTCAGGAATCTGAATAAATAAAATCAGGGATGTGTCTGAGAGGGAGTGAGTGTAAGAGTTAGTGCAGCAAGGTTGTGTGTGGAAGTGCATGGTTCTTTAGAGCGTGTGCATCTGTGATGTGTGTGTGTGATCATTAGAGGATCACACACTTTCCCTTCTCCACCCAGGGGTTGGCTCGCATCAGCTCGGGGTTCAGAAACGGATCTTCACAAACGCAGCCTTCAATCCACTTCACCAGCCTGCAGAAAATCAAACGTCAGCATGATACACACCTGACTCTCTCTCTCTGTGTGTGTGTGTGTGTGTGCATGTGTGTGTGTGTGTGTGTGTGTGTGTGTGCGCGCTCGCGCTCACTCAGTGACGGTGATGGAGGATTTCTCTCTGTTGATCGCTAGCTGATACTGAAGACTTTCCACTTCTCTCTTCATCTGTGGGATGTCCAAGTCGGCCATGATTGTTCCTGCTGTTCACAAACAAACAAACAAACAAACAAACACATGTCGGTACACAAATTCAGTTCAGACAAATAAACGCTGCCTTTACTCCACATATCTGATCACATTTCTCCCCTGGAAAAACAAAAACTGCACCTTGTTTGTTTGGACCGTTCTTGTTGCTTTATTTGAATCATTCTCAGGCCTGTTTGAGAGAAAACACCTGCAGAACCTTTTTATAATTCACATCACTCTGTTGTTAATCATGTTCGCTTGTGAAGTTGTTTTAAATGTGTGCTTTAAAAAAAAAAAAACTTGCCGTTTCTGCTCGAGAATGTTCAAAGTGCTTTACTCAAAGAAACGATGCAAAGTGTAAATAATTTGTTTACGTACAGACGGTGGTTGAATTTGATGCAGCTTGGCAAAAATTAAAATGTCTTTACTGATTATAAAACAGGGTCTTCTGTGGGCCTTTATAAGTCATCAAAAGCTTTAAATTTAATAATTTAATAAACTAGGCCTGAAAGGTTAAAAAAAAAAAGTTCAGTTTCCATTATAGGTGTTAAAAAACATTTAGTTTCCTCTTAAAATTGTATCTTTCCAACAACTGTGTTTTAATGCGTTGTCTTTTCTTCTGGGATGTAGTTCTTTCAGACGTTTTCTTACGGTGCAACAAAACTACAATTCCCATCATGCAACAAATCTGTCAGACAACATTAAAATTTAAATGAAAGGATATAGAATGTGTTACTGTAAAAGCAATTTGACAACGTTATTTTCTGTAGCTCTTAAAGCTCTAAAACTGGACGCAGTTAGAGAGGACATGGCGGACAGAGAGATGCTGAAAGAAGAAGAAAAGATGTGGATCTAAAATCAGAATGGTGTTTAAAAGGTTTTAAATGTCTTAATTCAACTTCCCAGACAAACTACAACAAAATGTGGGTGGGAAAGGTGAAGCACCCACACCTGCCTCCACCCTCATTTATCCCACCCTGGGCCCTTGAGCAAGGCCCTCAACCCCCACCATCTGCTCCCCCGGGTGCCCAGATGATGGCTCTCTGTAGCTCATGGTCTGTGGTTGTGTCAGGACGGGCACCCAGCGTAAAAACAATCGCCAGGTCGTCATGCGAGGTAGTTCACTGTGGTGACCCCTGAAGAAGGGAGCAGCCGAAATAATTTTTTTTGAAGATTTTTGCGGATTCTAGTTTTAACATTTTAGCTAATTTTAAATTTTAATCTACTGCGCTTAGTTTAGCTTTTAGCTACTCTTTTGCTCATTTTAGCTTTTAGCTACTATCGTGCTAATTTCAGCTTTTAGACACAGTTTTTGAGTTTAGCTACTGTTGCTATATTTAGCTTTCATTTAAGGTTTTGAAATTTTAGTTTTTGCCTGTGGTTTAGTTGATTTTAGCTTTTAATTACAGTTTAGGTGACGATTGCTTTTAGCTATTTGTAGGTGAATTTATGCAAAAAAAAAAAATTCTAATGTCAGCTTTTGTCTGTACTTTTGCCCATTTTAGCTTTTGGCTATTGATTTGCTATTTAGCTGTTAATTTTATGCTCTGAGCTGTTTTTTCAGACTTTAAATTTTATTTAATTTCAATTTATGTTCATTAAATTTAGCTTCTGTTTTGCCAAATGTAGCTTTTATCCTTGGTTTAGCCAATGTTAGCTTTAAGCATTGTTTTTGTTCATCTTAGCTTTTAGCTGGTGTTTCTCTCATTTTTGTTCTGCCTGTTTTAACTCCTGCAGCTTTGCTTCAAAATATTTTAGCACCTATTCAGACTACATTTTAGCAGAAAATGCTTTTTTTTTTTTTCTCCATAAAATACTAATTCGTGTCAGTTGTGTGATTTTGTTGACATTTTATAAGAACACGGCAGCCCCACCCTGAACATGACAGAGTTCAGGTTTCCGGTTAGGAAGCAGCTCTCCTCATCATCTCCATCTTTTTCATGGATCTGCAGGTCTGTGCCTGATTCAGTCCAGCTGCAGCTACAACCTCCATCATTTAAACATCTGTCTGCTGCCTCCATCACGCGAACATCTGGGATGTGTTCACGCACAAACGCTGCAGTTTGGAATAATTTGAGTGTGGGGGGTTAAATAAAGTAAAGCATGCAAACGGAGGCCCGTGATTTGTGGCGGTAATGATGGATGAAATCATGCCGCTCTCACCTTCAGGCTTCCCGCTGAGAACCGCGGCTTGATTCCGTGTGCAGCCGGAGGAGAGGAGACGATGTCCGGCCTTTGAACGGCGCAGCGCCCGCTCGGAGTGGAGAGAGTTGATGCGTCTCGCCGGCAGGAAGGAGAAAGGAGAGTGTTCGTGTGCGGACGGGATGCGCAGGGCGGAGACAAACCGAGAAATGATAGGCCCGCCCACCCGCCGCCGGGCTGCTGTGACAGTCAAACCGAGGAGACACCTGTAGGCAAATCCCGAGCTGCGCTGCGGCTCAGCGGAGGACACCAGGAAAAGTAGGGCGCGACACAAAGTGAAAACCAAATTATTTTATTATTTATAAACAAACTAGGATCAGTCTGTTATAGAACAGCTTCCCCCAGCAAAGAAAAGATAACGTAAAAAAAAAAACTTTGAGAGCGGCAATGCAGCTACTTTTCATTCAAACTTTATTTTTTGCAATGCACAGGTTTAACATCAATTTGTAATAAACTAATTAAAAAAAGCCTAATGTTTGGTGTACGAAATTTAAAGAGCATTTGGTTTGGATTAAAAAAAAAAAAAACGTCAAAGCTGAAGGCTCTACTGACCTTACCTAACCTAACTAGGTTACCATGGAAACCGCATACCCGACTGCCAGGCTGATTAATGGCAGACTAAAAAGTAAGACTCAAAACAAACGGCTCCAAAAAGTTAAACAAATATACATCCGATCTCACAAATTCTTGAACATTGTGATGCTGATGATGGTCATGCATGTGAGTTTTTATGTTCCAACTGTTTACGTCTGAAAATTAAGACTTCCCACTGAGCAAGGAGACGTCTAAACAACGTCTGTTTTAAGTCGTTTCTGCACGTCTAAATTGGGTCTAAACTAGACGTCTTTTAGACGTCGGAAAAAGACGTATATCCGACCTGTTGATATAGACGTCTTTTTTTTCCGACGTCTAGTTTCGACGTCTAAAAGACGTCGAAACTAGACGTCTATATAAAACATGTCGGATAGACGTCGAAACTCAACGTCTTTTAGACGTCGGAAAAAGACGTCTATATCAACAGGTCGGATAGACGTCTTTTTCCGACGTCTAAAAGACGTCTAGTTTCGACGTCAACCAACTATATATTTTTTAAATAGGCTCTTATTATATTTAACTTATTTTAGTCACTTAAAAAATGCTGCTTCTATGCTATTCATATGAAAAGTACTTTAAAACTGCGACTAGGGAAATAGTTCATTTGACCACCCATTGTGCAGCAGGAAACATGGTCCTAGAAACAGTTGGATTAGAGTATACTCCTTACATTTTTCATTTATCTTCTTTATTTAAACAATTTAAAGGATTAACAGAACAGTAGCGGAACACTGGTGGCACAAACTAAAAAAAAAAAGTCCACCTTCAGTACCTTAAAAAAAAAAAAAACAACTTTAGAATTAACAGGGAGCTTATCAACTGGTGGCAAAACACAATGTACACAAACAAATCTATAAAAATACACAGCTCACATAGCTTTGGTCTGTACTTAACATAAAAAATAAAAAAAATAGCATGCCTTCATTTTCGGATAGCTGAAATAGCAACACGAGAAATAAAAGCTATATAAAATTAGTCCCCTCACCACAATTACCGTACACAATGTTTTTTAAAAGTGTGCTGGTCGTAACATTTTGAATAAAGTTGATTTATTTCAGTAATTCCATTCAAAAAGTGAAACTTGTACTCAGTCATTACACACAGACTGATATATTTCAAATATTTTAAAGTTGATGATTATAACTGACAACTACTGAATACCCTAAATTTAGTATCTCAGAAAATTAGAATATTACTTGAGATCAATTTAAATTAAAAAAATAATTAAGGATTTTTTTATAGATGTTGCCCAACTGAAAAGTATGAAAAATGAAATGTACGAGTATGTATTTCATTCATTACTTGGTTGGGGCTCCTTTTGCCAGGACCATGTTCACACTTTTCAGTTGGCCAACATCTATAAAAATCCTTTTTTTCAATTGGTCTCAAGTAATAGTCAAATTTTCTGACATACTAAATTTGGGGTTCTCATTAGTTGTCAGTTAGTTCAGCTATCTGAAAATGAAGGCATGCTATTGTTATTGCTAATGTGCTCGCTCTGCAGATGAATATGAGAAAGTGTCAATGTACATAAAATATGAGTGGTTTCCTCAGTCTGAAGATAGTTTACAACCATGTTTAATATAGATTTAATTTGGTTTGAATTCATTTTTGTGGCCAATGAAAAATTATCACTGACCTACAAGATTTTAAAGATCAACAATACTATTTTTTCAGACATTGATTTATCAATGCATATCAAATTATGCTCTCTGAAATGATGGAAGATCTATTCTTACTGATCAGATGTTCATTTAAACATTACACACATCTACAAAAAGAGAAAATATTTTAGTTCAAGTAAAACAAGAACATTTCTGAGGCTCAAACCACGAAGGCAACGTTACCAACCGTTATGTAAAACGCGTTGTACTCCTGTCCTGACGCTGCTCAGTAATCCAGGTGAATACAACAAGTTGAAGTCAGGACCTTTGGACAGATTCTCAAGACCGTAGTATTTCTGCACGCCCCTCATGTCGGGGATTAATGGACAGAAACAACTAGACTGATGACAAATTTTGAGGCATAAATGCATCATGTTGCTGATCTAAATGGTGGATATGCTTTTTCTTTATGGTTATATAGATATCCACCTGGGATTTCTGCCAAAGAGTAGATCATATTTTATAGTCAGTCCTCCATCCTTTGGTTCTGTATCTTTTTGCTCGTTTCACATTTGACTTTTGCACAGCTAATTTGACCATTAAAAACAAACAAAAACTATTAAAACGTATACCTGTGAATTACATTCAAAGAACTATTAATGGCCTAAAGTAGCTTTAAATCACTGTTAAGTTGCATTTATCTTCATCGGTCAAAGCCACCGAGCTGAAGCTTCACAATAAACAACAATAACCCAGAGACCACTTTATAAACACTGTTTATTCTGCAAACAGAACTTGATACAAAAAGTCACCCTCCTGTGGCCTCGCCCGGGTTCGTCCTGTCAGCATGCGGGCAGCACTTTTACACTCTTGATGGTATTTGAAAGAAAATTGTTGCAAAACCTGCAAGAGAGAAAGTTTAGAGCGCAAAGTCCTACGTGACGATTCAAAACTGTCGATTTAAAAAAAAAAACACGTTGAGGCCTCAGATAATATTTAGAATCAGGAGCTGGAAGCTCTCATACGAGGTGTCAGAAAAGTACGTTTGTCATCTCTGGCCATAATGCAGCGCCCCTCCCCCCAAAAAATAAAAAATAAATAAAGACTCACTGTTAAAGAAACCCAGTCACCACCATCATCATCTTCAGCAGGACTACTTCTTCCACAAGCTGTAAATTAAAAGAAGCCGCGTTAGAACAAGTTGATCAAAACAACGTATGAGCAGAAGAAGCGAAGGAGCCTCAGATTGACGTCAGAATCAGGAGCTGCTGTTCAGCTCTCATACGAGGTGTCAGAAGATCTCGTTTGTCTTCCCAGGCTGAAACCACATGAAGTACAAGACACAACTCTCACCAGCTGTTCCACAGCAGCTTCAGTCTCAGGATTATCACGTCCTTATCGCACAGCTCATTCAGTCCCCTCGTCGGCTGTGAACAGGAAACAAAAGGCTGCACGTTAAAGTCTTACATGAACTCTTTATGAAGGAAGTGTCTGTCGTTTAACTCGAGCCATGCCGTGGAGCCTTAGAGCCAGGCATTCCTAACCTTACAACATCTGGCATATATCTGAATATGTGAGATTAAAAACTAAATATTCTGTTTTTCTTGTCCAACAGCTGTCCACAACACATTTTACCCAAATGAAAAGAAGGTTTTAACATCACGGCAACTTTGAAATGGATTACAAAACAAAATTACATCTGAAATATGATTTAAACATCAACTTTTCTTAATACTTGCTGAATTTTTAAGTTTTTACTCCCCATTTGTAATCAGGATTGATGTGTACGATTAATTAATTTTCTAGAAAATGTCTGACTCTTGGATTTGAGGAAAATTAATTTAGAAACATATTTAGTTGTTTTGACTATTAAAAGAACAGCCTTTAAGTGTTTATCATGTTATTACAGTAATCCATAGGACTTTGTTTTAACCCAAATATCTCAGTTAAAACGACTACTGACTAACACGTGTCTATTTCTTATGAACTCTAAAATACATGCGAGTGATTAGGCTCAACGATGCATAAGATGTTCAAAGATTATAGAATTAAATAAACTTGTCAGTCCATCCATCCATTATCTTCCGCTTATTCCGAAGTCGGGAGGAAATATCCAGTTTTCTGACTAATTACGTTTTACAGCACACAAGCTTCATGATAACCACCAGAACAAACTCAAACTGTATTTTTCATAGTTTTTTTTTTTTAACCCTAAGATACAAAAGTTTTTAGTCTGAAAAGCCTAAATGACCATTCAAACTGTTGAAAATGCACAGGACTGCCACGTGCTCCACACGAGCACATGGCGAAAATAAACTTTACTTCACCTTGGTTTAAGTCGTACTTACTTCAAATGCTCGTCTCACTTTTCAACAAGGACAAAAAACGTGTTAAGAATCGTTTTTTTAAGTACTACTTAACAACGTTTAAAGTAAAGAACAATTGCAACAGCAACCTTACATGGTAAAGTCATCCTGTCTTCTGACTGAGTACTTCTCGGCTTCCGTCACAAGAACCTCCCCCCGGTTTCCGGTTTGCTAACAGTAGTCAGCCAAAGAGTTAGCGTTATCGAAAAGTAGGGAAATATATTGCTAATGTTTTTACTTACCCATTAACATTTAACAAAAATATATACTATTTGAATTTAACTTTTTGTTCAGTATATGACTGTAACAGTTGAGGACAGTTTGCCACGAGCACTGAATCTCTCGGAAGTCATATTAAAGCATTATGGGAAATGTAGTTGAGTTTAAAAAAAAAAAGGAACGTTCCTCCAGATAAATATCTATGAACTTCCATCCATCCATCCATTTTCTTTACCCGCTTATTCCATTTTTGGGTCACGGGGGTCGCTGGTGCCCATGTCCAGCAATCACTGTGCGAGGGGCGGGGTACACCCTGGACGGGTCGCAAGTCCATCACAGGGCCACATAGAGACAAACGAGACAAACAACCATTCACTCTCTCACTCACACCTAGGGACAATTTTAGAGTTACCAATCAGCCTAACATGCATGTTTTTGGACTGTGGGAGGAAACCGGAGTACCCGGAGAAAACCCACGCATGCACGTATCTATGAACTTATTAATGGCAATTATTTAAACATTATATTTATTAGAAGTCTAGCATTCCTTGAGCAAAACATATCACCTGCCTCCCTAATAATAATAATAATAATAAAAGTTAAATGAATGCAGGAGTTTCAGACAAAAATCTATTGTGTTGAAAAAGATCTTTCCCAAAGCCATTTTTTGTGTAGGCTAATAATTTATCAGTTGTGACTTAGAATTTGGTTGACTCCGAACATTAGTCAGCTGTAAATGTACATCCAGTGATAATTTTCTGTAAGTTAATTCCAACATTTACTGCCATGATTTGAACATGCTTCACAAAAATAGATATTTTATATCCTCAAAGTAAATTACATCTTACATCGGTGTGTATTATTTTTTATGGCTCACGGCAGAGAAGCAAAAGGCTGGTGATAGATAACATTTTTTGCCCGTTTGTGTGTTTGTTGTTTGCAAAATATTTTAAATACCTTGACGGGTTGAACTTACAGATGATTTTGGAGTCGATCTGATTTGAGTTGGCCACATCAAGACATAAACATTTCTTTAACTTTATTGATAACTGAAAGTCATCTCCACCTGCTGTCTATTAAAATAAGGAGTTAAAACTAAAAAGATGCATTCTTAATTAGATTGATGAGAAACACTTGTTTTATTTTTTACTGCAAGTCTAATAGATGATCAAAGTATCAGTGATTTGATCACTCCTGAAGAACCATGTTTTTTTCAGCAACATTTTTATTTATTTATTTCAGAATATTTAAGCTCAACCTGTAGTTGTGTACCAAACACCAGAGCTCGTTTTACTGGTCTAAAATGTATGTTTACAATACTCGTGACCCGAAAAGAAAGAAGCAGGTAAAGATAAGAACTTCATTGATCCCGCAGGAAATTGTTGTGCCAGAGTTTCAGTACAATGGAACAATGGAACACAAGATATAAAAATAACTGGGAATCTAAAAATAACAAAATATAAAAAAATACCAAAGTTCCAAAACAGGTGCAGACAGAAACATTAAAGTGTTTATTGTAGTAGAGGATTAATTTTATTGCCCTATGTGCAGAAAGGGGGAGAAGTTAAAAAGTTTGAAGGACTTCCTGTGCTGTTCTGTGGAGCACCTCGGTGGTCTCAGTCTACGACGGTGCTGCAGTAAGAGTCCAGTGTATCATGCAGGGGGTGTGACGGGTTGTTCAAGATCTGGAGCGGTTTCCTCGGGATCCTCTGCTCAGACACCTCTGACTGCAGGTCCACTCCCAGAACTGAGCCAGCTCTCTTGATGACTTTATCAAGTCTGTTGGCATCAGCTTTCTTCACCCTGCTGCTCCAGCACACCACAGCGTAGAAGATGACACTGGAGACCACCGAGTGGTAAAACATCTGCAGCCCTGCAGACATTAAAGGACCTGAGTCTCCTCTGAAGAAAAAGGCGACTCTGCCCTTTCTTGTAGAGGGTGTTGATGTTAGCTGCCCAGTCCAGTTTATTGTCCAAGTCATAAATGTCAAACTTAAGGCCCGGGGGCCAAACATGGCGCTCGTTGACATCTCATCTGGCCCCCATGATGATATGTTAAATGTAAAATACTTTTTTCACTTGAATTTTTTTCAGTAATCTTTGATTATGGTGTCAAAAGTGCGACAAAGAACGTCAAACGAGACCACTCATACTCTTTTCGAGGAACCTGCGAACAAGATGTCGGGTATCTAACTTGAGTTAAAGTAGATCCTGAAACTGGCCCTAGTTTGAAAAAGGTTTTAATTTTGGCCCCCTTTTGTAAGTGAGTTTGACACCCCTGGTCTAGGTGGACCCCCAGTGTCCATCTTAGTACCCTTGATGTTGATAGGGTTGGGGGGCTGATATTCTTCCTGTAGTCCACCTGCAGCTCTTTAGTTTGTCCAATGTTGAGTTGCAGGTGGTTCTGTCCACCACACCTCTGTATTCAGCTTCCTGGTCACCAGTGATGCAGCCCACAATTGCAGAGTCATCCGAGAACTTCTGCAGATGGCAGGATTGTGAGTTGTACCTGAAGTCCGAGGTGCAGAGGGTGAACAGAAACGGTGAGAGGACCGTGCCCTGAGGAACCCCTGTGCTGCTCAGTATGGTGTCCAAGGTGGTGTTCTGCAGCCTTACAAACTGTGGCCGACCTGTGAGGTAGTCTCTGATCCAGGTGACCAGCGAGTCGTTCACCTGCATGTCCAGGAGCTTACTGCAGAGTAGAGCAGGTCTGATGGAGTTAAAAGCACTGGGAAAATCAAAGAACATGACTCTTACAGTGCTGCCTGCCCTGTCCAGGTGCGTGAAGGCTCTGATGGCGTCGTCAGCTCCATTGGGTGGCTGGTGTGTGAACTGTCAGGGGACCAGGTATGGTTCCACCACTGATCTGACGAGCTTCAGGACCAGCCTCTCCATGATGTCAAGGCCACAGGTCTGTAGTCACTGTGTGAGTTTGGGCGGTTGCCATCACCAGGACCAGGCATGTTGTTTTCCACAGAGCAGTGACCTCATGCTTAGGTGGAAAATGTGCAGAAAAACATCCCACAGCTGAGCCGCACATCCTTTCAGGAGTTTGGGGCTCAATCCATCTGGACCGGCAGACTCGCCTGGATGTAGACCGCTAAGCTCCATCATGATGATGGAGATCCTCCAATATCCTCCACAAAATAATGGATGGATTATAATGTGAATTTCTATCTATTTTCATTTTAGTCAACTAAAGCAGATTTTTTTGTGTGCAAGTAATTCAGAATTGAAGTTACCTTTGAGGTAATGGTTTTGGCTTCATAAGACAATAGAAAAGTTGAAACTTTGGTAAACTAATTTACTATAAGAAGCAATATGGTTCAAATTTTCATCCCAATGTTACATCACACTTAAAACGACAACGTATCAGTGTTTATCATTAAGTTAATAAATTAAATGCTTTAACAATAGGTTAAAAAATAATCTGATCTTACTGAAGTACTTTTCTTTCATAACGACCAACATCTCACACTGAACACCTAAATAAATGTTTATTTATTCATTAGATATTTAGCTAACGATACAGATGTGGCCATAAACATTATCGCTCCACTTTCACTGGCAGGTGATCATAAGAGAACATACAGAGCAGGGTTCGGTTTAATTTATACATTTATTCTGATCACAGCTGTACAGGAATGCATCGTCACAGCAGAAACACAACCTAAATCTGACCATGGCACAACAGCCGTCACAACACATCCAGAACGCAACCGTAAATGTACAGGCTCGTCCCGATTCAAGGTTCAGAACCCTCGTGATTATCATCATACTCACTATAATTTATATTCACATAGAACTATCTGTCTCTCAAATATATCTTTGTTTTCCAAGAGCAGAAAAATACAAGTGGACTCTTCACTGGGATGAAAACTGGTGGTGGATCCACCATCTTTGCTTATATGGAGGAGAAACACTGAAAACCGGAGGAGAGCAGTCAACTTACTACAGCTTACAGAGGGGCTTGGATCAGCTCGTATGGGGGTTTGGTGAAGGTCACAGAAGGACGCAGACAGATGGATGAGGTTGAGTTTTAGGAGCACAACTCAACTTAGAAGCTACTTTTGACATCACTGACACAAAAGTTTCTTTAAAGTTTTTTTTAAAGCCGATAAAAGCTGTTAAACTAAAATATATAAAGAAGTCTACCAAGGCACAGAGATTTGCAGAGTTAAAGAAACAGACACCAGGGGCCTCGTGTACAAAGGTACATACAAAAAAAAAAAAAAAAAAAAGTAGTGTACACACATTTTTGCTGAAGTTCAGATGTATCAATAAAGAACCTCACAAGAAATTCCTACCCGGCACAGAGAGCATGCTGGGAAACTCGTAACGATGTGGACAAAAATACGGGACATTTCTGAGGCGTTCCTTCACGTTGAGCTGCAAGTCTCGGAGGATCCGTTTTATTGCAGCCACATCACCATGGCAACAGCTTCTGTTAACCGTCAGTAAGAATCCCAACCTGTTCACTCGTTCTGTTCTTAATCCCAGAATGCAACATTTATACGTCATCATAGATTTGCTCGGTGCTAAAATCTCTCAAGTAAACGTGGGCTTGTCTTAATACATGCACAGTAGTCCCTCGCTACGTTGCTGTTCCACTTTCGCAGACTCGCTCTATCGCGGTTTTTCAAAGTAAGACTGGAGATGACACACAATTGGCTGACTGATGGATGAGCTGCACGATCGGCATGGAATTTTTATTTAAAATGAATTGTTTAAAATTATTTAGCACCTGCGGCACATGTGTGCAGCCCACAGCTGCAGGAGAAGCTCCCTCCTGCATGCAGCATGTCAGGTGAGCTCTGGCAGGTGGCAGAGTAGAGAAATTTGTTAGGGACACTGCAAGAGTGTGGGAAGGGTTTAAAACACCTTAATATATGCCTGTATATAAACACTAAAATAAACTACTACTATTTGTGTACATAATTTTGTTCTATCTAATGTACCACATGAAATAGTAATGACAATAAAGTTTACTTGAACTTGGACTACTGTATCTCCACTTCACGGTCTTTCACTTATCGCTGGGGCATGGTCCCAAATCCCCGTGATAAACGAGGGACTACTGTATAACATCCACCAAGATGTCAGTCAGTCCAGCATTTAGAAATGATTACACGTTAGTATTTAAGTGTCAAACTGAACCAAAAACAGTTTTTATCCAGGGGTTGATTCATTTCATCATCAAGCTATGAAATATAGATAAAGGTTTAATCTTAAGTGAAAATCATCTCGTTTGACCTGATTTTTTGTATTTAATCATATTTTTAGCACAAGAAAATTGTTGAGAAATAAGTTTGTAAACTTGACTCCATTTGTTGTAAGCCATATTTTCTACTGTGCGCCACATATAAGCTGCCGTTAGACACAAGCTTTAAAAAAATGGAAGGATTGTGCAACAGGACTCCACCAGAAAACCAATGAGCTGAATATATTTTTCTTATTTTCTGACCCATTAAACAGTTAATATTGGATTTAATTTGTGAGTACCTCTGTACATCAGAGAATATTCATTAAAAAGGCCTGTAAGTTGTACCAAGCCCACGAGTGACTCTGTGTTGACTGTAGATTTGTTATTAAAGCACATGTAAAGTTTGAAATGCCACAGAAGTGTACCCTGGATCACATCTGCATTTGGTGTGTATTCATATGTGGGCCAAAAACTTGAAGATGAAAGGAGTGGTGAGCCACAAAAACTTCCATCCATCCATCCATCCATCCATCCATCCATCCATCCATCCATCCATCCATCCATCCATTTTCTTCCGCTTATCCGGGGTCGGGTCGCGGGGGTAGCAGGCTAAGTAGGGAGGCCCAGACTTCCCTCTCCCCAGCCACTTGGGCCAGCTCTTCCGGGGGAATCCCGAGGCGTTCCCAGGCCAGCCGAGAAACGTAGTCCCTCCAGCGTGTCCTGGGTCTTCCCCTGGGCCTCCTTCCGGTGGGACGTGTCCGGAACACCTCACCAGGGAGGCGTCCAGAAGGCATCCTAACCAGATGCCCAAGCCACCTCAACTGGCTCCTCTCGATGTGGAGAAGCAGCGGCTCTACTCCGAGTCCCTCCCGGATGATCGAGCTTCTCACCCTGTCTCTAAGGGAGAGTCCAGACACCCTGCGGAGAAAACTCATTTCGGCCGCTTGTATCCGAGATCTCATTCTTTCGGTCACAACCCAAAGCTCGTGACCATAGATGAGGGTGGGAACGTAGATCGATCGGTAAATTGAGAGCTTTGCCTTTTGACTCAGCTCTCTCTTCACCACGACAGACCTGTACAGCGCCCGCTTCACTGCAGACGCTGCACCTATCGATCTCACGCTCCATTTTTCCCTCATTCGTGAACAAGACCCCAAGATACTTGAACTCCTCCACTTGGGGTAGGACCTCCTCCCTGACCCAGAGAGGGCACTCTACCCTTTTCCGGCTCAAGACCATGGCCTTGGATTTGGAGGAACTGATCTTCATCCCGGCCGCATCGCATTCGGCTGCGAACCGCTCCAGCGAAAGCTGTAGATCACGATCTGATGAAGCCAATAAGACCACATCATCTGCAAAAAGCAGAGACGCAATTCTGAGGCCACCAAAACGGATCCCCTCAACACCTTGGCTGCGCCTAGAAATTCTGTCCATAAAAGTTATGAACAGAATCGGTGACAAAGGGCAACCTTGGCGGAGTCCAACTCTCACCGGGAACAAGCCCGACTTACTGCCGGCGATGCGGACCAGGCTCTGACACCGGTCATACAGGGACCTAACAGCCCGTATCAAAGGGCCTGGTACCCCATACTCCCAGAGTACCCCCCACAGGGCCCCCCGAGGGACGTGGTCTAACGCCTTCTCCAAGTCCACAAAGCACATGTAGACTGGTTGGGCAAACTCCCACGCACCCTCCAGGACCCTGCTGAGAGTGTAGAGCTGGTCCAGTGTTCCACGGCCAGGACGAAAACCGCACTGTTCCTCCTGAATCCGAGGTTCGACTATCCGACGGACCCTCCTCGCCACAAAAACTTGAATTAATTAAATAAATAAATAATAAAAAGTGTATATTTTCAGTGTTTTTTTTTTAATTATTTTTTTTACTCAGCATAAATATTTTGGAGAAAGGACGTAATTGTCTAATTTTGGTGGAGAAGCTGTTCTAAATTATTGTAGATCCAAAACATTAAAGCTTCATAAACAAACAACGTTTTATTACTTGTTTTTTAAATTTGATTTTATAGATTTATTGCCAAAAGATTGTATTAAACTTAATATTGCTCATTGTGAGATTTTTTTTGTATCCCATTTTGCTGTTAAACCTAAACATTATATAAAAAATGATCATTGTTAAATCTGTAAAAGGTCTACATCAGTCTCTTAAATTATTAGTTCATATCTTAGATCTTATCATTGTTTTTCTTTTACAATTTATACTTTTGTTGGATGCAACTGGGACCATGTGTACACAATTTCATTCCACCACATGTACCACATACGATGTGAATGACAATAAAGAAACCTTGACCTTAAGCCTATGGGCCAAAATTATACCCTGCTTAAACTGCAGCTGTGGGCCACACAAAATCACTCCAAGGGCCACAAATGGCCCCCGGGCCGCACTTTGGACACCCCTGGTTTACAGTAATGAAGGTGATGAAATATTTAATAAATTATTGGCTTTTTAACGCCTATGTGTGTGTGTGTGGTGCTCAGACGGCAGCAGCATCACACACGCCGTCACTGCTCCGCACTATGATTAAAAAACATTTTTACATCCCACTGCTGGTATGTAGGAGCATTTCTAACTCACAGTGCAATAATTTATTATTTTTTCCCAGAATGTAGACGTGGTTTTTTTGAATGTGCAGAATGACACGTGTCGAGGGAGGCATCTCCTCTGCACTCCGTTCCTCGGTGATCAGGAGGCGCAAAGGAACATGTGCTTGGATTTGTGCGTTTACACAGTTGAGACGTCAGAGATGTTTTTTTTGTGCGTGCACCCTTTTCTTGATTTAAACGTAAACCACGTTTTAGTAAAAATAAATCCACGCTAGTACACGAGACCCCAGGATACTTAAAAAGGGAAGACAAGAAGAAAGAGGGCAGATTGAAGGCAATTTCACAAACCAACAATAGAGGGCGCTCACACAGCTATTTTAAAAACTGGATGTTTCCTTGACTTATGTAAAAACTGAAATAGAGGAATATCTTTTGAAAACATTGTTCACTGCTCTGGAACAAAGGGAGATACCACACAGGTGTGTGTTTGTGCACGTCAGTATTTCTCATGTACTATTTTGTGTGCAGAATAATTTCCAAGCAGCCTTCCATGTATGAAGATGAACACCTACAGGGCAGAACGCTGGCGACACTTCAGCCAGTTTCTGTTAACGTGAGCGCGTCTTAACGTTTGTATTTAGTTAGCTTGATTGATAAGAGGAACTACTATACGAGTGGGAGGACACTGACACGAGCAAAAGCAGGGACTACGCACACACTCGAAACAACAACAAAGCCAGCAATAACAGCAACGGCACCGACAACAAGAACGTCATGGAAAGAGACGGCAGACGGGTCAGGAAACGTCCAGAGAATCACAATCCCCCTCTCACACGAAGGAGAAATGGAGGCTACAATGCACCTGGAAAAATTTATCTTTTTGATATTTCAGGAATTAGACAAGACTCGGAAAGCGGTCCGTCCTTCCATGTGCTTTTATAAATTCTCTCAGCCACCTCGTCAGTTTGATTCCTGTTTACTTATCACTCTAATCTGCCTGCGAGACCACTACTGTGCTTCGTTTTGCAAGTTTTACGCTTATCTTCCCGTTTCTTTATTTTAAAGGATGAGCAACGTGATTGTGCTTCTCGGTCCGCACGGCCATCTGAGGCAGGGGACTGCAGAGGTCAGAGGTTGTGTGGGAGCGACCTCCTCAAGTCAGGAGGAAGGAGTCAGAGCTACTGCACCAGAGAAACGTGACTCCCTCCTCAGCAACGTGCACGGCTACTCAGGAAGCACTTAGGGAGGGGCAGACGCTCAAACACACGCTCTTCAAAGGGCCAGCATTTAGCCGTGGGAGAGTTTTCTTCTTACGCCTACACAGGACGTGGCAGGTGGGGAAAAGGGGGAAAGACCTTGTTGGAGAAAAGATGTGGGCAAGAAATCAATCAAGCATCGCATCCAGTTGGTCTGCCAAGTCGTCGAACATGCTGCCGATGTCATCCAGGATCGAGACCGTTGCTTTTTTGCTGAAATAAATAAAGAAACACGCCATTATTTGCATGAATTGAAGCCCATAGAATACATTGTGATAATTAGGGTATATTTTTGCCCCACTGTTAGGATTTAATATAATAATTGTCTCCGTTTTTATATTTCTGATGCACTGATATTTTTGGCAGCCTCAGAAAATTATTATGTTTGAACAGCTTTAGTTTTCTTTGACTGTTCTGAGTTTGTTTCTGACTTGGAAATTGCTACATTGTTATGTTGATGACACTCACTTATGTTTATCCATGAAACCCAATGAATCTATTGGGTTACTTAAATTACATGCACGTCTTATAGACATAACTAGGCCTGTCACGATAACAAATTTTGATGGGCGATTTTTTGACTCGGAAATTATTGCGATAAACAATAATACTGTTTGAAATTTGACAATAATTAATAATTATCAAATTTAGGAAGAAATGTTGGTTAATTTTTGCGTGTAGTACCTTTTTTAACCACTGAATGGAAGTATAGATTGTTTGAACTGAAGGATGGATAGTGAGGGAGTGAGCAGTGTGTCTATATGAAAAATGAGAGGGAGGCCCCTTGACGTGACATGGGCCTTCTCTTGTTCCTGTTTTTTGGTTCTCAAAATGGCGGACGTTCGGTGTGATTTGAGCTCTTTAGCGTAGCATTTTTCACACAAAGATTTTAATAAAAATCAGTAAACGACTACTCAACTTCTTTTTGCAGAGAAAAACTACTTTTTAGACAAAGGCACGGGTTTCAACCGTGAATTTTGGAGCTTCGACAAGACGGAGGATTTTTCCTGAGGTCGGCCTGTTAGCTTAGCTCGTAGCTTAGCTTCTCAGCTTAGCTGCTTTTAACGATCCAAAAACGCAATTTTGAACAGTTAAAATGGATTTTTACGAGAAAAGAGAATGGGAGGGGTCAGTGAAGAGCACCGGAGTTCAGCCTTTTGTCATCCAGTGTCTTCAGTAGAAAGAGAGAGATGAAGAAACGATAAAGCCGATAAATGAAAATGAGGTTGATAATTTTCATTTATCATGTGATTAATTGATTTATTATTTATTGCGACAGGACTAGACATAACATCTTGGATGACCTTTAATTGTCTGCTTTTAAACTCAGACAAGACGGAGGCTGTGGTTTTTGGACTTGAACATCTTATAAATAAACTTTGCAGCCTGTCACTTCCTGTGGATGGCGTTGATTTGGCCTTTAGTTCTAAGGTAAACAATGTCACCAGGACCACTTTCCTCCACCAGCGTAATATCACTAAGATTAGAAACATCTTGTCCAACAATGATGCAGAGAAACTGCTCGATGTATTTATCACTTCAAGCTGGACTATTGTAATGGTTTATGGGTGTCCAAACACTTCTTTAAAAAGTCTTCAGTTAATCCAAAATGCTGCTGCCAGAGTCTTAACTGGAGTTAGAAGGAGAGATCATATTCCTCTAGTTTTAGCTTTAATCTATTGGCTCCCTATGAAATTCAGAACATTTAAAATCTTCCTTCTAACATTCAAAGCTCTCAACAATTAAGTTCCATTTTATACCAAAGATCGTATTGTTTCATATTTTTCAAAGAGTGCATGTCACTCCCACACTGCGGGTTTACTTGTGGTTCCTAGTGTTTCAAATTGTAAAATGAGAAGCAGATCTTTCAGTTATCTTGTGGAAACAACTTGCAGTTTCTGTCCGTGAGGCTGACACATTTACTTTTTAACTCTTCCTTTTGATGAATCCTATAGCTAGGGTTGGTAAGGGTTTCATGAGTTATCCCTTAGTTATGTTGCTATAGGCTTAGACTGGTGGAGGATAAATTGACCACATCATCACTCTGCTGCTGTCTTTATTCACTCTTCTGTTCACATTTGTATTTGCAATTATTTTCTACCAACATGTTTTTCTTTGTCTTTAGAGAACAAAACCAGCTGGTCCAGTCATATTCCTGTCCTCTCTGTCCCCAGCCAGTTCATCCAGATGTGCTACCTAGTTCTGCTGGAGGTGTGTTCCTGTTAAAATTAAGTTTAATGAATGTTTGAAATTAGTCGTCTCTGATGAGACGTTCACATAATTTCTGTTTTTTAGTTTACACGCTCCAGTGGATTTTATTTTATATTTAGCTGAAGTGGTGAAACCTGCAACTTTCCTTCCTACTCACTCGTTTGGCTTGTCCTCCTCCTTTATTTTATGCTCCACAACCTGCAGGGCTGCAGCCAAGGAGGCGCTGGTCTCCTCCAAGCGATGCTGAATGTGTTCTGCTTTCTCCGCTTCCTCCACTCCAGTCTCCGTATCCTCGTTCACTCCTTCCCTCACTAAAGACCTCCTCTCCACCTCCCTCATTTTCACATCTTCAGCTCGCCTCTCTTCTTGTTCTGTTTTTATCTTGAGCTCCTTCTTCTTCTTCTCCTCCTCGTCCTCCTCCTCCACCTCCCGTCCTCCCAGCAGGTCGATGGAGAGCCCGGCGATGGAGGAGCGGGGAGGTTTGACGGGGTGAGGCGACGGAGTGGAGGGACTCTGGAGCGGCGAGGGGGAAGCAGGAGGGAGTCCTGGAGACAGACAGGGGGCTGAGGGGGTGTCGGGAGCTGGAAGTGGGGCAACAAAAATGGGAGAGGAGAGTTTGGGGGCTGAAGTGGGACTGGCTGCAGCTGGGCTTGTAGCAGCAGGGCTCGAACTCGCGGTGGCTGAAGATGCTGCAGCTTTGCCTGGTTTAGGAGCTGTTGGAGGCCCACGGGGTTTTGGAGATACGGGAGGAGGAACACGTTTTGACTCTGGTCAGGGAGAATCCCAGAAACAAACAAACAAAAAAAAACCCATCAGTTTTCTTATTAACACAGTATCAATAAACCAAAGCAAAGCCAATAGGGTATAATTAGATTCTACTTCTTAGGTTTGACCATGTGCTGCTTCTAAATAGGCCGGTCACGATAACAAATTTTGCTGGGTGATTAATTGTCTCAGGAATTATTGCGATAAACAATAATATTGTTTGAAATTTGACAATAATTAGTAATTATTGTCAAATTGAAGAAGAAATGTTGTTTAATTTTTGTTTGTAGTACCTTTTTTCACCACTGGATGGCAGTATAAGACTGTTTGAACCGAAGGATGGATAGTGAGGGAGTGAGCAGCGTGTCTCTAAGAAAAACAGGAGAGAGACTCCTTGACGTGACATGTGCTGTCTCTCCTTTCTATTTTTCGGTTCTCAAAATGGCGGATGCTCGATGTGGTGTGAGCTCTTTAGCATTTTTCACACAAAGCTTTTAATAATAAATCAGTAAACAAGTTCTCAGCTTCTTCTTGCAGAGAAAAACAACTTTTTAGACAAAGGCACGGGTTTCAACCGTGAATTTTGGAGCTTCGACAAGACGGAGGTTGTTTCCCCGGAGGATGGCCTGTTAGCTTAGCTCGTAGCTTAGCTTCTCAGCTTAGCTGCTTTTAACGATCCAAAAACGCGATTTTGGACATGAAAACAGATTTTAAAGCGAAAAGAGAAAGGGAGGGGTCAGTGAAGAGCACCGGAGTTGAGTCATTTGTCATCCAGTGTCTTCAGTAGAAAGAGAGAGACACGAAGAAACGATAAAGTCGATAAATGAAAATGAGGTTGATCATTTTCATTTATCATGCGATTAATTGATTTATTGTTTATTGCGAGAGGCCTACTTCTAAAGTCTTCTTAAGTAGCTGGTTCAACTCCCCGCCATGGCCACATGTTGTGGTATCCTTGAGCAAGACACCTAATCCCTAACTTGGGCGCTTACATAACTGCCCACTGCTCCACCTGGGTGTATCTCAGGTGTGATGAGATAATTAGAAAGCTCATTTCGTCATTGTGTGGGACCATACAACAACAACACATAGCACTTTCTTCTTATTTCTTCTAAAATTCAACTCTTTCGGTTATCAAGAGTAGCAAATATTTCAAAACTATTTTATTACCAACATTTTTTTGCAACATTATCTTTAAGATCTTGGGAACAAATGTGTCGAAGCATGAGAAATAAATGCTAAAACCTGTTTTGTGTCTGTCAGATTGTGTTATCTTTAATATATGATTCAGCTAAAGAAACAAGAACAGAGTGTTGTGGAAGGTGCCTAAAGATCCAACCTAAAAGTGGTTCTTGCCAAGTTGCCTGCTATGTGTCGACACCACAACACTGGTTAATCTGCTGAGTTGGCAGAAGATTTTTAAGCCTAAATGAACGTTAGGTCAGAGATAAGTGGCTTAAAAAAACAATACAACCATATGAAAATTATCAGACTGGTCAAAGAGCAGCCAAAGCCCCACAAGCAAACAAACAAATAAATAATTACTACCGGTAAATACTTTGAAGAACTTTTGCAAAGGCAACTGTAAAAAGTTTAAAAGGTTTTGCTACTTGAAACAAATATAGTAATATAAAGATGTGAAATGACTTTTTAAGTACTGTAAATATTGGGTCTTTTGTTTTTTTTCCTTCCTCGCCACAAAAAAAAAAGCTTCTCATTAGTTTATCAAAGCATAACGTCAAGCTAAAATGACAATTAAATTGATGAACATGAAAAAAAATATGGTTTGTAGCCATCTTTCTGTCTAGAGCTGTTTTAAAAATGAGAAAAAATGAAAAGATGAGGTAAAAATCACATAATTAATACATCGTCTTTCTCTTTTGCAATTTAAAAAAAACCTAAAATCAATGGTGGGGTGGTACAGTGGCACAGTTGTTAGAGCTGTTGCCTCTCAGTGAAAAGGTTGCAGGATCAAATCCTGAGCTGGGACCTTTCTGGGTGGAGTTTGCCTGTTCTCTCCGTGCATGCGTGGGTTTTCTCCGGGTGCTCCGGTTTCCTCCCACAGACCAAAAACATGGATGTTAGGCTGATTGGTAACTCTAAATTGTCCCTAGGTGTGAGTGAGCGAGTGAATGGTTGTTTGTCTCTATGTGTCCCTGCGATGGATTTGCGATCTGTTCTGGGTGTACCCTGCCTCTCGCACTGTGGATGCTGGAAACGGGCAGCAGCAACCCCTTGTGGAGAGACGGCAGCTCTAACCACCAAGCCGCCTTATATAAGAATCAAAAATGTGAACATATAAACAATTATTTTTAAAAGCAGAAGTTCTTATGCAAACAAGACACCCTCACTTATCAATTATCAAATAAAGACAAATATTAAAAAAACAAACATCTGGAATAATGGCACTAAACTAAAACATGTGTGTGGTTATTTGTTCTGTCTTTTCCATAGTATATTTAAAAATCTGTTGCTGACAGAAATGCAGATGAGTGAACCTATTTCTAAACATCAGCATCCAACAGGATGACAGACTCACTGCAACACCAACTCATTGCACACTGCAGTGATGACAAACATGTTTATGTAGGTCAGGGGTCTGCCACATGTGGCTCTTTGGTTCCTGTGCAGCGGCTCTTTCAAGCTTGGACCAAAACTGACATAAAACTGAATTTTATAGGATGTTATAGCCACAACAAAAAATGACTAGTTTTAGCAGTTTTCCTGTCATTTCATTAGCAAATATGTGAATACTAGTACAAATACGCAGAGTAACTTTATGCTGTATTTTTTTACAAAAGGAAACTCAATTTCTCCACAATAAAAAAAAAAAACATACGCCTGCACAGTTCATTGTTTTAGTTTTTTAAAATCTGGCAAAATAATATCTTTTTTTTTTTACAAGAATCCAGTCTTCTGTGATGGACTGGCAACCTGGATATGGGCACCAGTGACGCCCAGTAACCTGAAAAGGAAGAAGCGAGTAAAGAGAATGGATGGAATTCAGTCTTTTCTTTTGTCTCAAAATGTAAAAATATCAATAAATGTTAACAACCATGGGATGATTTTAGTTTTATAATTTTACACCTACTGGCCAGAAAAGCCCCCTCTAACAAACTTAAAGTGGCCCATGGGCCACCAGTTGATAATGACAATGGTAACAGGCTTTGCAGCTCTGGACACGTTTGATTTAGTGAACGAAGGGGCAGAAATGGCTCTTTTGATTGTAAAGGTTGTAGATCCCTGATACAGGTATACTGTATGTAGGTAAACAGTGTGTATAACCCTAACCCACTTCTTTCTTTTCGGGTCACGGGGGTCACTGGTGCCCATATCCAGCAATCACTGTGTGAGAGGCATGGGACACCCTGGACAGGTGGAAAGTCCATCACAGGGCCCATTTGGCTGCCCATTGGGGAGATTTTTCAAATCCAAAATGGAGATTGTGGAGTTCAAAGCTTTAAGTTACATGAGAATCACTGTTAATGCTGCAAATTCAAATGCACATTAATCTCCTTTCCCTCCAGAAGACATGTTCGGCCCAAGTAAAGTTCTAATCTAATGCAGTTTAAAGCTCCAACTGCACACTCTCCAGTTCTAAATTGAAAAAGCTTCCGAGATGGGAAGCAAAACACCTTCAGCTACAGAACGGAAGTCAAGCTGCTTCGGCTTTTAAAGTTTTAGGTGAACATTTTTCTGAATGGCTGACAATCTACACAAACAACGCATGAGAATATGCAGAGCTAAAAGCCCAAACGCTGACACACGCACTTCACAAGGAGATAATCTGTGTGTGAAATGAGTTTTCACTTTTGTAAACAGTTTGGGCCGAGGTGTGGTTAGAGTACACAGGAAGCAGGATGTGAAGTAAAAGCATGTGGACATGCAGCTTACAGAAGAGGAGTAACGAATATGTGATCAACAAGAACACACATATGCAAATGCTTGAGGATTTTTTTGCAGCATTCATTTTTTTATCCCATTAAATCTGAAATTATCATTAGGGAGATGGCTGGGTAAAGTTTGTTGTATTCCTGCAGTCTTTTTATCACGCCTGGAAAATGTTATTATAGTGTGAATGCTTATGAAGCATTCACTCTACTGTGATCCATTTTTCTTCCGTAATTTTTCAGCATCTTTCTTAATCCACAATTTTTGTGCTATTTCAACAAATCATATATCAAAACATTCAGCTCTTTCAGGAAAATCCTGCTATGACTTTTGGTATTGGTGCAACTTTAGCTTTTTGAAATATTTAGCCTTTTCTGCCACTTTTTCCCTCATAGAAAATGAATTGAGCTCATTTTACATCCTTCATCTCTTTAGCTCTGTTTACAACCTTTTACTGCTCCTTTCACATTTTGTTCTGCTTCAGCTTCTTTCAGCTTCCTTATGCAAATTTAAACTTTTTCAGCTACTTTTAGCTGTTTTTCAGCTGTTTTGTGCTCCTTTCAGCTTATTTCTGCAAGTTTCAACTTTTTCTACTATTTCAGCTATTATTTAACTGTTTAATGCTAATTTTAGCTTTTTCAGCTAATTCCACATCTTTTTGCACTCATTTAAACTGTTTTCAGTCTAATTCAGCAAAAATGTGCTCTTTCCATTTCCTTCTAGTAATTTAGGCTTATTTCTACTTTTTAGCTATTTTCAGCTGGGGTTTTATTTTGCTGTTGTTGCTAATTTCAGCTTTTTTTCAGCCTAATTGGGCAAACATGTTCTTTCTGCCTTCTTCTGCTAATTTAAGCTTGGGTTAACTTTTCAGCTAGCTTTTTAGCATTTTTTAGCTAATTTCTGCTGTTTTCAGATAAATTTAAGTTGTTCATGTTAATTTCTGCTACTTTTAGCTTAATTAACTTTTTATGCTAATTTCAGCTTGTTATGCTACTTTCAACTTTTTTTGTCAAGTTTCAGCTTTTTCTGCTCTATCAGCTACTATTTAGCTCTTTTGATGCAAAGTTGAGCTTTTTCAGCTAATTCCACATTTTCAGAGCTCATTTCAGCTCTTTCCACTTCCAACTGGTAGTTTAAGCTTCTTTCTGCCTTTTCAGCTACTTTTCAGCTATTTCTTTTATGCTAATTTCAGCCTTTATTTTAGCTAATTTCCTAATTTTTGTTATAATTTCTGCTAATTTAAACCTAATTCAGCAAATATGTGTTCTTTCTGATTTCTTGTTAATTTAGGCTTGTTTTTCCATTTCAGAATGTTTTTTAAGCTAATTTCAGCTGTTTTCAGCAAGTTCTTCTGCAATAAGCATTCACACTGCATTTTCACAGGAAATGCAATTTATATAGTAATTACTTGTACAATAACGTTTACAGTTATTTAGCATATAAACTTTTCTGAGTCAAAAAGCTTAACTTAATGACTCAAGCTTCAATGTTGTTTGACTGTGTGTGTTTAGGTCTCACCAGGACTCTGCGCCAGCTCAGTACTATCAGGGCCAGGTATGGGGACCCTGCGAGTTGGAGTTGGAGGGTCAGCCTGTGTTTTCCTCATGACCACGGAGGATGGTTTGGGTGAGACAGGTGGCTTCAGAGACTTCCTGGCCTCCATCCACTCACAGCTCTCTTTGGCGGTCTCAGTCCTTTCTGAAGCTTCGGACACCGGCCGTCGCCTAAGCACCAGGCCACCATTCGGCTGTGGCTCATGTTTACTTATTCGGCTGCTGTCTGGAGAATCTGATTGATTATTGCTTTGAACAACGCATTCTGTTTGCTCAGATGTGCGCGGCCTTCTGCGTATGGTGTCCGAGCCAGTTGTCATGGTAACAACAGTTGTAGCTATAGACTCAGGTGCTTCGGAGTCCATGGCAAGAGGTCGTGGCTTCCTTCTGAGTGTTGCTGTGCCGTCTGTGATATCGGATGCTGAGGAGACCACGTTAGATCGAGGTCGTGGTTCTGGACGTTGCTGCACTGGTTGCCGAGGTAACTGCTCGGTATGGCTACCAGGGAGGCTTTCAAGTCCACCAATGGTCCTGCGCCGACTCATCACATCCTCCTCCTCAGATCCTAGGCCTCCTGCCCCAGCCTGGCGACGGAGAAGCGGTGGACTCACCTGTAGATCAAATGTTCTTCATTAATACCTCTTCATAAAGACTCTAAATGTAACAGGTTTAAACACACCCACCTGTAGATAGCTGGTGCCACTTCCCAGGTTCTTTTGCACCATGGATGTTTCCAGCATGGCCGCAAGGCTGCGAACGCTCCCAGAAGCACCTTCGGATCTCTCGAGGCCTGCAGAGTCCAAAGCCCTTAAAGCTGCTCCCAGGGTGCCGCAGTCGCTGGCTCGCCGCTCTCGATAGGTTGGCAAACCCAGAAGCCCCTCCCCCTCCCCGTCACCTCCAGTAATGGAAGAGCAGGACCGTTTTGGTGGCGTCGGGGGCCGACCTTTCCGTCGGGGACGGAGAGTGACTGATGATTGGCTGTGGTGAACAGTGACATCATTAGAGGAGGCGGTGTGCGTGGAGCTGCTGCGGCACACAGTTGCATATTTAGAGTCTGAATCTGAGCCGATGAGACTGTGCGTCCTCCGTCGCTCCTCTTCCTCACAGGGTAGCCGCAGGAGAGGTACTGATGAATCCAATGTGGCCAACTGGGTGGACGGACGAGGCCGGGCCCGGGGGGAGGCCTGCTGGGTGCGGGCGTGTGGAGGGGTCTGTGGAGGTGTCTGGGTGGGTGTGAGGGGAGGGGTCTGTGAAGGTGTGACACCTGGCCGAGGCTTGGCCAGAGGGCTGGGGGCACCATCTCTCTGCCTCCTTGCCTCTCTGCGTGGCTCTGAAGAAGTGCTGCCACATGGGCTGGGTGGAGACGACGAGGAACTCTGAGGAGGCTCAGACCCACTCTCCCCTCTCTGTAGCTCCTTCAGTTTCTTCACTCCCAACATCAACTTCTTCTGATGTCCTGAGGCAAAACAGGGGTGAGAGGGAAGCGGAATTATTGTAAGCTAGAAAAAAAATAAATGTATTAGAAGAGGTTCCATAATAACTTTTATTTTGTTAAAGAATAATAAGGCCATGTCATTTATAATTGTGTCAAAATGCAAGTCTTAAAGGCGGCCCACTTTAAACAAGTGATGATCACCTCTTGATCTCTTAGACAAACCTAGATTTCACAAGTTCACACTGACTGTTCCATTTTTTGTGTTGTAGGGGAAGGACATAATGGAAAAGTATCTACCCTCACAAATTGTATTTTTTAAGAGGTACACTTCAAAGGGTTACAAGCAAAACTAGCCCCCCCCCAAAAAAAACAAACAAACAAACAAACAAACAAACAAACAAACAAACAAACAATAATAATCACAAATTAAAGTGTTTGTCTAGCTTGACATATTCTGATATAGAGTAGTCCTCGCTACTTCCTGGTTCGTTATTCATGAACTCGCTCTATTGCGGTTTTTCAAAGTAAGATTGGACATGACACACAACTGGCTGATTGATTGATGAGCCGCACGATCGGCATGGAATTTTTATTCAAAATAAATTATTTTAAATTATTTAGCACCTGCTGCACCTGTGTGCACAGCTGTGGGAGAAGTTTCCACCTGCAGCTGATCAACTGATCTCCGTGCAGTGCGGAGAAGTGGGCGTGGCCGAGAGAGCACCCGGAGGCAGGGAGCTGAAATCATGACATTCTGTGCTCTTTTAGAGCATTTAGAAACATTTTTTAGAATACTGCAAGAGTGTGTGAAGGGTTTAAAACACCTTAAAAAAAAAAAAAAAAAAAAAAAAAAAATATATATATATAAAAATAATAAAATAAACTACTAATTGCTATTTGTACTACTATTCTTACTTTGCGTTTTTTCACTTTTCACGGGGCTTCAGGGTACAGATCCCCTGCGATAAACAAGGAACTACTGTATTATGTTTGGCGTCACTGTCATCATTCTTTACAAACATAAAAAAATTAAATTAACTAGCTAAATGACATAATGAACAATGAACTGACTTATAGCCACTTTGTATTTGCTAAGATTGAATAACTACGGTAGCCATTCTGAATCAATATGTTCAGTACATCTTAAGAATACATTATGAAAGTTTCATTACATTTGTCCTGTGGTTCATGAGATATTTTGCTAACAAATAAACACCCACATGCAGAGGAAATTGCATACTTGCCACACCTCCACAAATTTTCCAAAATGTCTGAGCATTTCATGTTCACAGATTTTTCTGTATTTTTTTTAGCAGAGAATGTATAGTAAACTGAAATACAAAGAATACGGTCTTGCATTTTATTTAATACGATATACAACAACTTAGTATTTTAACAAAATATAACCATCTTTACCTCTTTAAATAACTTTATGAGTCTATTCCCTATCTAATTGTGACTTACCGAGCTTTGAGATGCCGATCTCTTGCAGATCTTCAAGGCTGATGTCAGAGACAAAGTCAATGTTTTCGTAGCCATTCTGCACAAGGACTTGGTAATACTGACTGAGACCCAGGTGAGACAGCCAGTCTGCCAAGTTGGCCTAAATTAGAGAAGAAAAAAAAAAAAAAAATTGGGCAATAATTTACTGATTTATACAAAGCTGTAATGAGCAAAACTTAACCAGGTGACAGAGCAGCATAAATGTAGCTCGAGTCTACAAAGCTTCCAGATTTCAACATCTCCCTTTGCTGTCTCCAGGAGAGGCCTTACAGGTTTGTGGTCCAGCAGCCAGTCTGTGGAGTACAGCTTGCTGATTTCTGACAGCAGCTTCTTTCGATGTCCAGGCTTCATCACATTAATTGCTGTCAGGTCCTTAAACGCAAACAACACTTGGATTAACCACGGCCACAGACAGAAGCTTTTTCTTAAATTTGCAAACAATTTGATGCTAGTTTGACGTGAATGCACGGGATGCATGTGAGATGCCTTCGGGAATATTTATCTTTGGATAATCTCTGATGAGTGTTCCCTGCCTTTTAGGTCGTTTATGTCATACTGTAGTGTCTGCTTCAGTACTCACACATGCACAGAGAATGACACTTAAATCCCCACAAAAGGACAAACACGGACTGATGCTAACAGAGCAGACGAAGCCACGTGTGAAAACAAATATACAACTGACGTGGGCAGAGAATGAGATGTGACCGGTTCAGACTCACAACAGATGACAAGGGTGAACACTTTGTGTGTTTTGCTGGCTAACAGAGAGCAGTCAGAGGTCATGACCTTACCTCAGGGGTCATGCAGCCAATGGTGTCTAGATCATATCCAGCCGTGAGGAAGTGGGTGGTGTAGAACTGCAGCTGAAACTCACCCAGCCACGTCACCACTGCCTGCTTCTAAAAAACAGAAGACAGAACACGAAGAATCTTAAAAAGTTACATTTATGTAAGCCTGACATATTACACTGTCATTACTTATTTAACAAAACAGAGCCATGGCAAAACAGCACATCAAAATATTTACCTGCTTTCAGACATTAAGAGCAGCCAGGTGATGTTAATTAAATGCACTTGATCAACTCATCGTCATCATTAGTGAGCAGCTCTATAAAAGCTGAAGCGTTGACAACTCTTTAGTCTGAAATATTTCAATGTACTTTAATGCTAACACAAAAAGGCTTTACAGTGATGTTAAACAATCGTCGTCCATCAGTTAAGGAAGGGTTTCACTTTTCTAAACAAAATGGAATTGAGGAATTGAGAGGTTGTTTTGATCGAACAGACTGTCAGGTTTTCAGAGAAGCTGCTGAAAATGGAGGTTCGCTTGATCTGGACCAATACACCTCCTCAGTTCTGGGTTGCATTAGTACATGTACTGACACAGTCTCCACTATCAGAAATGTTAAAAGCTACCCAAACAGAAAACCTTGGCTGAATGCAGAGGTACGCACCCTGCTGGAAGCCAGGAACACTGCCTTCAGGTCTGGAAACTCAGAGGAGCTGAGTAGGACAAGGAAAGAGCTGGTTGCTGGTATTAGAGGGCCAAGGCCACATATGCACAGAGGATCGAGGGTCAATTCATCTCACAAGACCCTCGGATCATGTGGAGGGGCATTAAATGCATAACGAATTATAAAGGAAGGAGTGAACAATGCCCCAAAGACCCATCTCTGCCTGATGCCCTCAACAAGTTCTATGCACGCTTTGAAGACCCGAACAGACTACCCAGCGCCAGACTCACCTCACCACTGGATGAAGAGCATCTCAGCGTGACCTCAGTTGAAGTAAGGAGTACTTTCAGGAGGATTAATCCACACAAAGCAACCGGCCCAAACAACATCCCCGGAAAAGTGTTGAAAGAATGTGCCGATCAGCTCTGTGAGGTGATGGCAGACATCTTTAACACCTCACTTACCCTGGAGACAGTTCCCACCTGCCTGAAGACTGCCACTATCATCCCAGTCCCAAAAATCTCTACAGTGACTGGTCTGAATGACTACCAGCCAGTGGCCCTCACCCTGATAGTCGCTAAATGCTTCAAAAAACTGGTCATGACTCACATCAAAACAACCATCAACATCAACGAGGACCCTCATCAGTGCATACCGTGAAAACCGATCAACAGAGGATGCCATCTCCTCTGTGGTCCACACTGCGATCAACCACCTGGAGCAGAAAAACTCTTACGTCCGTATGCTCTTTGCGGACTTCACATCTGCCTTCAACACCATGATCCCCCAAACCCTGATGGACAAACTATCCACACTAGGACTAAGCCCCTCCATTTGCAACTGGGTACTAGACTTTTTAACAAACAGACCACAGTTAGTGAGGATCCACAACTTCTCCTCCTCCGCCATAACCCTCAGCACTGGCTCTCCTCAGGGATGTGTGCTGAGCCCCCTTCTGTTTACTCTGCTCACGTATGATTGTGCAGCTACCCATCCAGACTGTCACATTGTAAAGTTTGCAGATGATACAGCGGTGGTGGGATGCATCACAAACAATGATGAGTCCAGCTACAGGCAGGAGGTGGAACACCTGGCGAGCTGGTGCAAAGAGAATTACCTTCACATCAATGTGAAGACATAGGAGATGATTGTGGACTTCAGAAGGAACAAAAACATCTACACCCCCCTGAACATAAGAGGATCTGTGGTGGAAGTGGTCTCCAGCTACAAGTACTTGGATGTACACATGAATGACAACCTCAGCTGGAGGAACAACACCACCAGCCTAATCAGGAAAGCTCATCAGAGACTCTACTTCCTCAGACGGCTGAGACGAGCTGTCTGGGAAGCTCAGTCCTCACCTCCTTCTACAGGTGTGCAGTGGAGAGCATCCTGTGCTCCAGCATCAATGTGCGGCATGGAGGCTGCACAGCTGCAGAAAGAACAGCTTTGCAGAGAGCGGTGAAGGCTGCACAGAAGACTGTTGGAGTCAGTCTCCCCACCATCACAGACATCTACACCTCCAGATGCAGGAAGAGGGCCACTTGCATCATGAAGGACCCCACTCACCCAGCACACACACTTTTTGCCCCACTCCCCTCAGGAAGGAGGTTGAAGAGCATTAAGTGTAGAACCACTAGACTGAGGAACAGCTTATTGTTTATTTAAAATGTTACAGTATTTAAATTTAAATTGTTTAAGGATGGAGATTGGGAGTAACAAGTGATGGGTGTGATTGCAATTGCAGCCTGGCACATGTCATGACAAAGTATACTGAACTTGAACTTGGACTACTGTATCCCAACTTCGCGGTTTTTCACCGCGATAAATGAAGGACTACTGTACGTTTTTTTTTTTTTTTTAATTCAATGCTGCAAAACTGCAACAATCTTATTTGGAGAGATGACACAATTATGGAGAGATTTGACCATAAGGCACAGTGCTATGTTTGGTAAAAACCTAAGTGTAGCACTCAGCACTATACTTCATAACAATACTCAAGCATGTTGGTGTAGTAGGTTGATGATTTGGGTTTGTTTCGCAGCCATAGGACCTGGGGATGTTGCAGCCTCCGAGTCAACCATGAACTTGACTGATTATCAAAGCATTTTTGTGTCAAATGTGAAGCCATCTGTCCAGCAGCTGAAGCTTAATGGAAATTGGGTCATGCAACAGGACAACGAAGCAAAGCAAGGCAGCAATCTAGAACAGAGGCCTGAAAAATAAATTGTGATGTTGCAATGGCCCAGTCCAAGTCCAGACTAGAGGTTTAATACAAGTTGTTTATCAGAGGATGTACTTACTTCAATTGAATAACTCCTAAAGACTTGATGATTATTTTTAAATCATACACTTTAAATAGGGCACACCTAATTTTTTCTATTACTAAAATACTAAACTAAATCTAAAATACTACAAACTTAAACCTGCAGTATAAATACTAAATTTAAATATCTAAGCCAAGTGTGTGCAAACTGTAGCTCTTGAGTCACATGCGGCTATTCGGTCCCTCTTCAGTGGCTCAAAACATTAAATAATGTTTGTATTTATGACTAGTTTTTGTATTTTTTTCTGTTCATTTGTATGCAAATATTTAAATAAAGTCTATATGACAGAATGATACAAATAACAGAAAAAAATATTCATCACATTGTGCTAATAGTTAACTAGCTTGTTGGCTACTTCATTAATCCAACTTCAGGCCAAATAATGCGGTCTTTCTCTGAAATATAATAGAAAATGAAAAAAATATATATCTGAGGAAAGTTATTGAAATAAAATAGTGGGATTTATGCATACCACAAATGACTAATATGAGTTATTAAAATAAGTAATTTTACAAACGGACTGCAAATCACTGATGACGACGACAATTAGACGGCTTGCCTTTAATATAAACTTAATTAGAAGTTTAAGTAAATTTTGATCTCTGCCTTTATTTTAAAAAATGCTTTCAATACATTACATCCAACAATCTAATTTAATTATCATTTTCTCTCAATGTTTTAAATATGTTTAATTATATCAAAGTAGGGTATATATAAATATATATAATTTTTACAAATAAATAAAGCACTCAATGTTGCTTAAAGCTCAGTTTAAAATTGATCAAAGGCAGTAAACATAAAAAGTACCAGTAGTCTCTTCTTTGTCTTAATGTATGCAAAATTAAATAATTTAAACAATTCAAGACTGATTTTTAACTTCATAATGTCCCCAAATCATATTTTTTATATGTAGAATTCATACAACACTTAATGAGTTGTGTTATTTTAACTTTAAAGAATGTTTTGCGGCTCTGCACAAATTTGATTTAGTAAGAGAATGGGCACAAATAAAGGTAAAGTTTGCTATTAAATAACGTTTAAAGTAGCCAATCTACTTGGCTTTTTGATTTATTTATACTTTATTGACATTTATAAATGTATTTAACATATACATCCACTTCAATTATTAGTAAAGTATAAATTTAAATGTTTTTTAAAACAACAAAAATAACAACATAAGCAATAACACAAAGGGAGTGAAAACGGTTTTTGTTACAATCATTATATCATTCAGAAATTGCTAGTTGGCTTTTTCATGTTCTGTTTGGCTTTTCATAAACATACTTGATACATTTTTGCTTAGAAACTATGATTAAAAAAAGAGGTTTAGAAGATGTGCGAAGTGCATATATAATAAATGATATGCAGTATTTACAAATTTATGTTAGAAAACTGGTACAGGTAAATAGCTAAAATTATTGTTTTATTCTTTGTCAATTTATGAACAAAAATGATTCAGGTTCATGTTGTTTTCTGTCAAAGTTACAAGTTACTTGAGAAGGTCCGAAGCGTCACTAAGGTTGCAGACCCTTGACACAGAAGGAGACAGGAACTAAAGAACTGACTCTACATTTCCAGGTCAACTTACATTAAAATCTTAATTGATGCTGGATGAGTGAACTATAACACAAATCTTAATGGCAGCTATTTTATTTAAGAAAAGTAACACACTTCCTAAAGAGGGCAAATAATTATTATTTACAGCACTGGTGAAATAAATCAGTTTTCACTCCCCTGTATTGTGTGCATAAGCAAGAAGTCGTCATCGAGGTTGAGATGTCTGTTGGATATCACTAAACCAGTGCATGAAATAATTCAAATTCAGTTTTTGTTAAGAGTGCTGCTCAGAACACACCATTGGTTGGTTCTCTAACTATCTCTCAGATCGGAGGCAATGTGTTCAACATAATGGTACTTCCTCCAGTTATTTAAGTCAACAATGGTATACCACAAGGCTCAGTCTTAGGACCCACCCTCTTTACAATCTACATAGGTAATGCAGGTCAGAGCATCCTTGACACATCCTTACATTTCTATGCTGATGACACAGTTGTTTATTGTCAAGCTAAAACAGTTGCTAAGACTTTCCAGCTTTTGCAATCCGCATTTGACATCATCCAGTCAGATTTGTTCCACCTCAAACTTGTTTTAAATGCTAATAAAATCAAAGGGATGCTTTTTTCAAACAGGAGTCGGTCCCAGCAGTTCTTCCTCTGATTTTATCCTCAAATGGTGTCCTTATTGAGTTTGTTGATTCCTATAAATATTTGGGTATCTTGGTCGACACGCATCTCTTTTAAGCTCCATGTGGAAAACCTAGTAAAGAAACTGAAAGTTAAACTGGGTTTCTTTTTCAAAACAGATCCTGTCTAACTCTGAATGCTAGGAAACACCTTGTAACTGTGACTTTCCTTCCCTCCTTTGATTACAGTGACATTATTTACATGAACGCTCCTACATGCACTCTGCAGATGTTGGATGCTGTCTATCATGGTGCACTAAGATTCATAACTGACTGTGATTATCGTACCCACCACTGCACCCTGTATTCACTGGTTAACTGGACATCATTAACTTCACACAGACTCTCCCACTGGTACATTTTCATCTTTGAATCACTTCTTGGTCTGCTGCCATCTTACATCTCTTCCTACATGTTTATGAGTGAGTGCAGCTACAGCGTGCACTCTCAAGACATTATTACCTGCAGTGTTCCCCCAGTGCAGACTGAACTTGGCAAAAGGGCCTTCTCCTACTCCGCTCCTGGTTCCTGGAATATCTTACAAAAAGATCTGAAGCTCTCGACCTTGACCTCTCTAAGTGGCTTTAAGAATCTGTTGGACTCCTGGCAGGGACCAATGCAGACATGTTCCTGTTTTTAGTTTTCTACATTCGCCTTATAATCTAGCTGTTTTTGTTACATTTTTTGTAAAAAAAAAAAATCTGTATGCCTTTTTATAACTGTCTATTGTTGTCCATTGTTGTCATCATTCTTTGTTGAAATCAGGTCTCTCTTGTAAATGAGTCCACGAGGCTCAATGGGATTAACCTGTCTAAATAAAGGTTGAATGAAAAAAAGGTCAAGTTACATTATTGGTTTTAAACTGCTGGCACACACTTATTGTGGATGAGATCAACCAATGAGGACATTCAACAACTCAATTACTGCTGCTTTTCTAAAAGATGGCAGCTGTTGCCCAGCAACCAGTGGTTCTGGATTACAACATCTGCTTGGTTGAAGATCTCAACCGAAGTTATTTACAGAACAGTTCTCCAGCAGAGCAGCTGCATGTGGGTGTCCACAAGGTGGTGTGATTGCAGGAAGGACAGAAGGCAACAACTGTCTCCTCTAGATGTCTGTCACTCTGCCTGTCTCCATGGCGACACACTCACAATCCTGAGGATGCCAAATATTCAGATGATATGCAGCAGATAATTTGTTATTGTGCCCAATAAACTCCATCCTTCGTGAAATGTCTTCCTCAAAATCCGAGAGCAAAAAAAGCATAAGCAATCAGAAAAAGTCCTTAAAAAACTCACTTTCCCATCATCTTCTTCTGCCTTTCGCTCAAAAGACCGCTGCTCATGAACCGTGCAGCTAGAGGAGCCTTTAAGTTGAGAAGCAGAGATAAACAAAAAGAAGAGTAAAAACATATTTTAAAAGGGTTTTATTTTCAAATGACATCTTTTTAATCACAAGAACGCACTAACGTAAAAACTTAACTTCCTGTCGTGTTTAAAAAAATGTTTCGCAATACACAGAAAGCATTTGTTTGTAATGGCCAACTGAAGTGAGGCATTTGCTACATTTTGGTGCTAAGGGACGTTTTGTAAATGTTGATCACACCATCCTGTACTTTTAGTTCTCAAAAATTCCCAACACCATAATTTTTGTCATTGTTAATACCTTTACCTCCTGAGCATGCCTATTTCACAACAGACATTTAAGCCCAGGTTAAGTTTGTTAAAATTCAGGTCTCTCTTGTAAATGAGTCCCCGAAGCTCAATGGGATTAACCTGTATAAATAAAGGTTGCATGAAAGTCCTACTATTTTATGTCAAAATGGCTGCTGTGAAACAAGTCTGTTGCTCCGCCCAGTTTGGGCATACCCCAGGGCTTAATCTTAAGCCATCTTCTATTTTATTTCTCTCACAGATCTTATCCACCTTGCAAACCACACAAAGTGATTTTTGAGGTTAAATCTTGAATAGCTCACAAATTTCACATCTGATAAGCAGTAGCAACTAAGACATTTGTTTAAACTAAAGGAATAGGCATTATAACACATGCTGGAAATAATTATACGGTGTGCTGAGTAATTCTTAATTATGTTGAATCTATATTGCATGTTCCTATGCGGGTTTTTTTTAAGTCACCCTGAATAACACAAACTCATAAAAACAAACAGGATCTAAGAGGCATGTTAAAACTGCTTATTAATAAAGAATTCTAGTACTAAAAAAAGGATTGAGGAGAAAAATACTCCTGGTGTCTGATAGGAACAGACAGGTGGTCTTTAGAGGACCAGGCTGGCTAAATATGAGATGAAGAAAAAATGATCTAAACAAGCCCAGAGGGAGTTGTTCTACTTGTGAACACAGCCTTGATCACTTCAAATTGTCATCACTTTAGATTAAACAAGATTTATTTATTTTTGTAGGAGGGAAAAGGGGTGTGTGTGTGTGTGTGAATGAATGAAAGATGATTTCATTTATAAATTAAAGGTATTGTCTTGGACAGGGATGCACGATATTATCGGCATGGTATCGGTTATCGGCCAAATAAGTTTTAATATCGGATATCGGCCAGAAATCCAATATCGTGCATCCCTAGTCTTGGAACAAACATATGATGTGAATGTGTGCTTACTTGCTGACTGCTCAACGGACTGTGACTGCTCCAAGAGATGTTCCTTGGCTTTTACTGACTGAGAGAGCACAGTGGCCAGGAGCTAAAACACATGCACAAGCAGATACTTAATTAACATTTGCTAGTGTATAATCACGCCTCAGAGGTGCCTTGTGCCGGAACAAAAAAATACAGATTCTGATTTACAATCCTATTTTTTCTGCAGTTATCTGCTGTACAAAAAATACTACAATACTTGTGTTTATTGGAATATTCCTGAGACTTTAATCATTTCTATGCAGAGTGTTTAGTTGATTATGTCTTTGTTGTAGCAGTATTTCTTGGTAATGAAGCATATACCATTGGAAAGACTATTTATTTCCCCTTAAACTGAACATGTGTTGCGCCCATGTAAGCTTGCCAAATTTTCTCTGCCAATGCAAAATAGCCTTTTGTAATGGCCTGTCTGCAGTCCTGACCTCAACACCACTGAACACCTGTGGGATAAGATGGGCACACCGTTTGTTCCAGAGTGACTAACACAACCACACTGGCTGACCTACTATAACTGCTGGTTGAGAAACAGGATGCCATCCCACAGCAGCATGTCAAAAAGATGGTGAGAGGCATGAGGAGGAGGTGCCAGGCTGTTGGGGTTGTGTATGGTTCTTTCACATGTCAATGAGTCTCCTTGTTAAAACATTAAATTGTTAAATTGTGAATATGTCTCGTTTCTTTACAGGGGCAGCTGTGGATGAGTGGTTAGAGCAGTTGTCCTCCAATGGGAGAGTTGGAGGTTTGATTCCACCAACAGTCACATGTCGAAGTGTCCCTGGGCAAGACACTGAACCACTCATTGCCTCCGATGTGCGTCTCATCGGTGTATGAATTAAACATTTCACACATTAGACATTTCACACATGTCTGCACCTGACCTGTTTAGAACTTAATAGCTGGTATGTTTATATTCTCTGTTATTTTTTATATCTTGTGTGATTCTGTGCATATGTTCCTTTGTACTGAAACTCAGGCACAACAATTTCTTGCGGGACCAATGACGTTGTACCTTATCTAATCTTAAATGTGATTTAATGCACTGATTAGTCTTCACAGATTCAGATTGGCTTTGTATGGATCTACTAGAGTGCTGTATGAATGGGTAAATAAGGGCTTGTAGTGTAAAGTGCCTTGAGTATCTTGATAAGATAGAAAAGCACTATACAAGTACAGTCCATTTACCATTTCTTTAAACCGCAATTATTCAAACCAATGAATAACACCTAACAAGAGACAAGCTGTTTGGCACTGGCAGAGAAGATTTGGCAAAGAAGAATGACAAATTGTCCAATAAATTCGATTTCTAAGTCCAGTTACACAGGGTGCAAATTCATACTTGACTGCATTGCACATAGTTAAATGCACACCGCCACACTTATCTGAAACTAAATTGCATTTTTAGATTTGTATGACTAAGTGTGGCAAGCGTTAAACCTGGCATGAAATAGCAATGCTAAAGTTAACAAAAGAGGATCACATATATTAAAAAATATATTTAGTGCAGTTCACACCTGAAAATATCACCTTTACATTTACAGTGAGTAATTCAGTGCTAAAATGTTTCCACATTTTTGCCCTTCAAATTGTGCATTTTATTTTCTACATTCATACTGTTAATAAGCCCTTTTTTTAAATTGATCCAAAGTGTTTGTCTTATGGTAGCAGCATTTGTCTGTTTGATATGAATTTTCTTTCTCTAATCCATTTGCTCATTTTTTAATGAAAAGTAAATAAATGAACCTGGGTTTATTGTTAAAAAAAAAGGGGCACTGACGTCAACACAAGTACACACTGAGCAGGAAACAAAATTGTGGTTACCATGATAAACATCTTGTTTCCTGAAAATGTTTTTCTCTTTCCTGAAAACGACAGGCTCTGTGTTTTTTGTAAACTAAAAGCAAAAACATGGTAAAAACCTGCACTCAACAAGAAATTTAGGAAGGCCTCTCACCTTGACCCCTTCTGCCTGTGCATGCAAACCTGGAGCATTAAGGCCGTGAGTGTTGACTCCTGGTGTGGGTGCAGGGTGAGGACTGGGCGCCGGTGTGGTCAGGACATGTGTGTTTCCAGAGCTCTGCAGGCTGCTTGAAGACCGAATGCTGCCGAGGCTGCCCACGCTGCCGCTGCGCTCCCCACCTGTACGCGTTAACATGCACGTTACCACATGGAGTAAATGCATAAATGAAAACTGTTAACCCAAAAACGCACACCTGCCATCGGTTTACGCAACACCCAAATGTCCTCACTGGTGCTGCTCTGATGTGCTAAAGTGGGGGAGCCTTGAGGACTCAGCTCTGCAGTGCGAGAACCTGTCACACAAACACACACATATACACACAGCTGTCTTAGTAAAGCTGATGAACTAATACATGCACTATTTTTTAAGACAAACAACATGTATGTGATAATGTATGTATTATGTTTTATACAGTGACTAAATGTGTGTTCAGCTGTGAAATGAATGATATCAATCACTGTTACACTCACTCACCTTCACATCTGAAACACAACCCATAGCGTGTGCAGACCAGTTTATATCTCTTGTTAAATGATCAGGCATCAGTAGAAACTTGTTACTACTGAGAAACAAACTGTTTAAATAGTTTGAGTTTTGATAAAAGGCTCAGTCCTCCTCATATTGGAGTAGGGATGCACGATATTGGATTTTTGGCCAATATGCAATACACCAATATGTTAAACTTATTTGGCTGATAACTGATACCGATATTTTTAATATATGTTCCTTTGTCAGAACATAGCCTTCTTATTTTAGCTTATTTGCTACAAAAATTGTGTAACAGCTGTAAGAGCTGGTGACATATATTCAGTAACAGCCATATGATATGCATAGCACTTTGACTTATATTAAATGAAAAGTGTTAAATGTTATTAATTAGCATTAGTCACCTTCGATGCTGTCTCACTTGTGGAGGCTTGTTCCAGGTTCCTAGCTGCATTGTGGGATCCTCTCCACTCTTGTGCATGAAGGACAGCCAAAGTTTTTGTCTATCCATTGTGCCGTAAGACTAATCATGCTAACGGGGCTAACACTTGATGTCCAAATGTCTGTGGTAAAACTCACCCAAGTGCTATCGGCTATTAGCTTCTCAATGACGTCAGAAATGACGGCTTGTAACACGGGTAAAGTTACGTTGGAAAAATATCTCAGATTGGGGACGATGTAGCGAGGCTCAACGTAGTCCATAAATCTTCACAATCAAACATCTTCAACAACAAAAAAAACTTGCACACCGCCAACATTTTGACCACCGTGATCAGATCAGGTAGGCGCGCATGACGTCATCACGCGCTAGCGCTGCGGTCATCCTTGTCACTGAGTTGTCATACAAAAAAGCAACTTTTATATCGGTGAGTTATTTTCACGGAATGGCCTATGTCCAATATTTAACTTTAACGCTAATATCGACCGATACCGATACCATGTCGATAATATCGTGCATCCCTATATTGGAGGCCTCCTGTACTACGAAGTAGTATTAGCGTCTTAGCAAGGTAACTTCAGGGTCCGTTGGGGATTTTTAGTACCATGCAGCCAGTTCACTTTTTTACTTTTGTTTAAACCAACTTTAAATTGTGCGGAAAGCATAACCTGCTCTGTAACAGGGCAGGTCTAATGACGAGTTAAACACTAGCTCCCTGAGACGCTGATGAGGAACAAGCGGGTAAAGAAAAAAGACAGATGAATATTGGATTTCCACCAAGCGGAACCTGCAGCGCATTAATTTAATAAAATGCACACTGCTAAATTATCCTGGGGGCTGCAGTAGCTAGGTGGTCATAATCCTGTGCCTGCAGATCTGAGCCCATGGTTGCATCAAGAAGGGCATCTAGCATTAAACAATTACCAAATCTTTCACGCAAGTTCACTTGCTGTGGCGATTTCTGCAGAGGGAGTAGCCAAAGCAAAAGCAAAAGCAACAACAACGCTGTTACGGTGTCCATCCATTTTCTGCTGTGTATCCATGATCAGACTGTGGAGGCAAACTTAAGACATCTCTCTCTTCAGCAACACTTTCCAGCTCCTCCTAAAGGACCCCAAGACGTTCCCATTTCCCGATCATACATAATCTTTTTAACAGGTTTTGGGTGTGCACGCCATTTAATTTTTTTCACCTTACAATTTACATTTTTTTTTGTTTTCTTTCTTATTCAAAGTTGGGATAAGTTCTCTGATTCCAGCTCCACCCACTTCACATGAATACGTGTTCAGAGTCAGAAAATTGTCACAATATAATAAGTTTATAACCAGCTTCACAGTAGCACAAAGTGCGAGCTCCATTGTTAGTTTTAGTTAGCCCGATCAGCAGAAGGTACCCTAGGTATGTTAAACCTGCTTCGTAGAACAGAACCAAAGTTGGTAAAAGAACTGGAGAGATGTTCTGCCATTCTTCAGATCCAATTTCATCCAGTCAGTTGTACTCCATTGATGACGTTGTTTTAGGAGTTATTTGAGTCACTAAGTCATTCAGAAACATTTATATACAACACCCTAAAAATATTTTAAATTAGATGAGTCAAAAACCAAACAGTTTCTGGGTTCATGCCATTTTTTTATAGCTATGTTCATGAAATTAAACAACCTGGGATCAGAACTTTTTATTAATTTAATGATTAAAGATGTGGTAAATTATGATATATTTAGTATTTTAATGATCGTTTAGGTGGAAACAATATGACCTTCAATAATACAGGAGCTACTTAGTGAGTGACGATACATATTTCAGACATTGAACAATAAAATGATATTCTACATAGTTGTGCAAAAACAATGATCGCTGTTAAAAATCAGTAATTGAACAAGCAGGTGCATCCAAACCTCAGAATGTTATTCTCTAATAGACAATTTTTCTATAATACAGCTACACTAAGTCAGGTAATTAAAATGGAGCTCTGGATTGAATATTTCAGCTAAAGGGTCAGTTCACTCAGATTACAAGTAAACCGTTTCAGCACCAGAGGAGAGAAATTTAATTTCTTTTATGACAATAAAATAGTTGTGCTAATGGTAGAATACTTGTAAAAAATACCAAATGTCAGAAGATAAATGTCCACATAATTATCTGAGGACTCTATTTTGTTCATTTGACAGAAACTGGTTTAAATAAAAATATAAAGGCAACAAATACAGTTCATTTGTGGTGCAGGAACTGTTTGTGTGTCATCTGGGTGAACCGATACTTTACTGAGGCCAGGCGACAAGCTGCTACATGATGTTCTGATTTGATAAAGACCGTGGAGATAATAAAAGAAATGATGCTTATCTGTTATTTACAGTATGTACCTGTCTGACTCTGCTGCTCCTGAGAAGTGAAGAGAGGAGGAGAAGTGGACAGAGGAGGAGTAGACAGAGAAGGAGGAGAAATGGAAAGAGGAACATACCCAAATGAGGAGAAGCGAGGGAGGGATTGTGTGTTGGCATGAAGGGGAGGAGGGGTAGGCAGATGCAGATGCAGGGGGAGGACTTTGGAGGGGGGGTATGAGTGTCCGTTGATCGAGTCAATGGGGCAGGGACTGGGCCTGCGGAGGAGGAGGGTGTGGCACTGCTGGGATGGGGAGTGACCTGGGCACAGGCCAGGAGGAGAGGGGGGGTGCAAAACAACAACAACACAACAACAACTGATCAGTCAACTGGAAACAAAAGTCTACCCAGAAAAAAATTTAAAATGCACAAAATAATAATTGATTAAATTAAAAAAAATAACAAAATACATTCATATATCCACAAGGAATATATCTATAAATTAAAAATTATTATTAGTCAGGCAATTATGCAAATGAAATGAACAAAAAGCATCACAATCTAATAAAGCAAGTTGGAACTAGGAGGGTGGCTTTAATTAAAGAGGGTCACAGAAGGAGAAATTTAGAGGAGCGGGAGGGGTAATAGCCAACAGAGGAGGACAGTGATTGGTCAATGAAGATGACTGACAAGTTGATAGATGACTAGCTGCAGCTGACTACAACTATTGATCAGCTATATCTACACAACAGCTGCTAAACTAACACATGCAAAATGTTCACACAAACACACACACACACACACACATACACACGCACACATACACATGCACAGAAAGAGCTGTGGTGTGGGTGGTCACCTGCCCTCTTGATGACTTCAACAATGTTGGAGGGAAAGTAGCCCACTCGATCATTTCCCGTACGGTTATCATGAATACAGCCTTTCCATCGGCCATCAGAGTGCTGCTCCAAAACCTGCAAACAAACACAGATTAAAACGTGCTCACGTTTTACCAACAATGACGGCAAAAGCCAAGGATAAACTTGTTAAATACACGGTACAAGCTAACTAGAAAGTTCCTGGGGAGAAACTTTGACGGGGACTGCCACGTGGCGGCCATTTAAAAAAATTGTTTTTACAGTACTCTTTGTTGGGATTCACTCTCAGCTACCACCACACCAAATTTCAGCTTAATAAAAAAAAAGAAAAGAGTTATACTTGTTTTTTCTTCTAAACTACGGTGGCCATCTAGGAGTTTTGATTTGGATTGTGATGGGGAACGTTCTCAGCTATAACCACACCAAACTTCAGCGCTGTATGTGTAAAAATAGCTGATTTAAAACCATTTCAATTTAGCTCTTGTGACCATCTTGAATTTTTTATTTGAATTCAGTATTTATTGGGCATTGCTCTTGGCTACCACCACAACAAATTTCAGCTTAATATCTCTAAAAATGGCTGATTTAAAGGGTTTCCTTTTTAGCTCAGGTGGCCATCTTGGATTTTTTATTTGCATCAGGAATGTATAACAACTCGCTTTCAGCTACGACCAAACCAAATTTCAGCTCAATATATCAAAGAATGACTGAGTTATAGTCAATTTTGAGTTTTCTGAGGTAGCTGAGGCAGCCATCTTGATTCAAAAAGGCTCCAAAAGTTAATCAGTGTTTTGTTCACCTTTTCACTCAAGGTCATGTGACCTCACTGTGGCAGTTAGAAGCTGTTAAGAGTTCTGTCAGTGGTTTTCAATAAGAAAAATGGTGTCTTTGTTTGCAAATTACGTTGCCATGGTAACTCGAAACGCTAATAAAAGTAATAGCACACATCATGGTGCCGGTCATTTTGATATAACATTTGTGGGGGTACACGTTGCGGTTTGGGCCGCATTAAAGTTGATAGGAGCGAAACACTTTTCAGGTGGATAATAATAGGTGGCTGCCTGAAGGCAGTCCCCAAATACAAACTAAGCCACTGAGCAAATTTATATTTTTCTGTACCATGTTAGCAATAACAATAATATACATGTCTTTTGATATCTGTCACCAAAGGACACGCAATAATGTAACTGCCAACATGTGTTTATATGTGTTAATTGATCTACCTTGTTAGCAAAATATCTGATAAACCAGAGTAAACCAGTAAGTAATCATTAGAAGTTCATCTACAACTGACTGACTTTTGGCATCAATCCAGTTCAAGATGGTGGTCATGGCTCATCAACCTTAGGAAATACAAGAATGGCTAAAACTCAGTCGATTATACAAACTTCAACCAAAATTTGTAGTGGTAGTAGCTCAGAATCCTTACTAACACATACTCCAAGCTTCAACTGTTTGTGTGAGATGTTACGATACTGCGTGCAGTCGTTCGCAAGATATTTTTCAAGATTATACAAAAAAAACCTTTGTTAAATTTCAAGATGAAATAAGTTTAAAACTATGACATAAAAAGCAGCATGCAATGTATATTCTGCCAAAGAATACAAGGCCCATCCATCCATCCATTTTCTTTACCAGCTTCTTCCACTTTTTGGGTCACGGGGGTCGCTGGTGCCCATGTCCTGCAATCACTGTGCGAGGGGCGGGGTACACCCTGGACAGGTCGCAAGTCCATCACAGGGCCACATAGAGACAAACAACCATTCACTCTCTCACTCACACCTAGGGACAATTTAGAGTTACCAATCAGCCTAACATGCATGTTTTTGGTCGGTAGGAGGAAACCGGAGTACCCGGAGAAAACCCATGCATGCACGGAGAGAACATGCAAACTCCCCTCAGAAAGGCACCCGGACTGGGGTTTGAACCGGGGACCTGCTCATTCTGAAACCAGTAACAGCACTCATATACCATACTGTAGAAGAAGAAACAGTGAGCAGTATAAACTAGGCTCGGTTTTACAATACTGTATTACTTTAATTTATTTTACTGGACTATGAACCGTACTGTGATAATGTCTCCTGCTTTAATGTTCAGGCTGGTAAGGTCGTAGTTGTTGCAGTAATCCTTCAGCGCTCGCACTTGCATCGCAGCCGAAGCGTCTACAAAACAAGATAGTGAAATGGTAAATAGAGTAAGGAGATCAAGTATATAAGCCATTTATATTACAAACAATACGATGCACAAAAAGCATGTTTAAATTATTGTCAACATTATTGTTCATGTGGCTTCAGTAAACTTCATCAAAGTTAATTAAAAAAGTCCATCAGCTGACCTGGTCTCATACAACAAAGCAGACGACAAATCTTTGCAATTTAAAGTGACTAAAAAATTTGTACTTGTGTTGTTCGTTTCACAGAGAAAACTTTACAAAATGTCCAAATTAACGTCAAAACAAAAACTAAAAATTGTCATCTTGAACAGCTTGTCCTGTAACCTTAAAAAAAAAATCAAAGCTTTCTTTACACACACAGCAGTGAGCTTCAACAGTTTGAACAGAAAACCTCCTGAACATGAAAAATAGATTTTTAACCATACCATAAAATAAGAAGCACACATTAATTGCACACTCTCCAATTGTCATACCAGAACTCTGAATTTTAAATATTTGAGTCCAGATGCTCCTATCAAATGTTTATAGAGACAAAAATCCTGTTTCAAAAATTTTTAAGGCGTATGAGGGATGAGTGTGTTTAAGGAAGCGTATCTGAGCTGACGGCCTCACCTCTCAGTAACTGCTTGATCTCTCTGCTGGCCTGTGTGGTGGTAAACTGGTTAACAATGTCCAGGGCGGTTTGACTAAGAGTGTTTCTTACTCCAGCACTGATGCCACTCTATAATGAAGTAGAGAAAAAACAGACACTTTAGAATTTATTTAACCTGGCTGATCCCAATGAGATCACATAAGCAAGGCCTGGGACAGAAGTAAGCGTTCAAGTTTTTATAACCTGGAAAGAAATTGGAATACAAATAAGGAAAAAACTCAGACAAACTCTAGAAAAAAAGATCACAAGCCCAATCAGGGGCTTGAACTCAGGACTTTCTTGCTGTGATGCAACATTGCTAACCACCACATCATACTAAAGAAGCTGTAATATCAATTCAGTAACACCAAATGGGCTGCAAACAGATATATTAAAAAAAACAAAATCAGGTTTTAGCATCTGTTACCCTTTTGGAGCAGGGTTGCACACTCAGACTTACGTCCAGCAGCAGACGCACGACCTCCGTCTTCCCACAGAGGGCAGCCTGATGCAGAGCTGTGCCACACTCAGACTGTCTGTTGATATCTATGCCAGCCTGAATCAGCAGCCTGCAACACAGCATCACAAAGATCTATTCATTCACAAGAATATTGCCCCTAAAGATGACGCACAAACAACTATGAACCAAAAATGTATGCTGTATAAAAAAAAAACATCCAACAGAAATAGTATTAGGTTTAGCATCTTAAATCGATTACTGTTTTAAACCTTCTTGATAGTGACTGCTTTTAACCTTTAAGATTGGCTTTGTTTTATCTACACAGGCTGCAGGGATGTTTGTGGTTTTTTTAATGACCACAGCTTGCAGCCTGCCAGAGAGTCAGCTCACCCGCCTGAGAGGAAAACAAGATATACAAATGTTTTGCAGTTATTTGCCATGTAAGAACAACACTTAAACCAAATTAAAGACCCCCATTTGATAAAAATTAAGTTTAATAAACTTGAGAGCTGTTTATATGAAGTGCAAGAGCATCAAGTTGTGTCAAACTGACCTGTGAGGGTTCACTGAATCCCATCAAAAGGTTTACGTCCCTTTACACAGCCATGAAGCTGAGCAGATGATAGGATATTAGTGGTTTACTTTTCCCCACTAAGTGTTTGTTCTGTTAGTTCTTTTAGAAGATAAAACAGAGAACAAGAGTTTGACTGAGATACTGACGTTTATGTGGACTGTAGCTCACAGGCTGTGGGTTTTGTGCTGCATAACGAGCTGCTGGCCAACACAACGTGTTTGCTCTGGCTTTGATTCAATGCTAACTGTTTGGTTGCTTTTACTGAAATAAAATTTCCACCTACGACGACTGGTACAAGAGAAGGAATCAGATTAATTTAAAGACAGCTGAATGGATTGCCAGTTAATCTAATGTGCCATTATAATGACGATAAAAATCCAATTTCTAATTAGTTGTGTTAAACAAACCAAAGTACACAGAAAATGAACTGAATGTGTATGAGAACAGAACTGCAGATGTTTTTGAGCTTAAGGGGTAAGATGTTTGCACTTTTGATGAGTAGAGCAACCAGGATGTTTTGCCTAATTGTGATTGCCGTCATAGTTACCATACGTTAGGCAGTTAACTTATTTTACTAAAACGTCAAACATCTAAAACAATGCTTACCGCTAACTTTATGAATCATCTTTAACTTTATGCTGTGTTATACATTGTTCAGGTTCTGTTTTGAGCAACTTGTAAATTTCTACAGTAAAACACAAAATAAAAGTGTTCTTTAAGATTTTTGTGGATCAAGCAGGCAGGTGGACAGACAGGTAAGATGAAAGCAAATTAGAAAACAGGCTGAGAAAGGCATCACATCAAAGAGAGCTTGTTCGGACCGTATGACTTCTATGTGTCCGTTCTTAGCCGCGAGGTGCAGAGGTGACACTCCGTTTGGGTCCGAGGGTTTGGGTTCCAGCATGGCTGCACACATGTTACTGCTGAGCAGGAGCTGGACCACCTGAACATGCAGAGATACACAAGAGTCACTGATAAATAGAAACAAACACAATTAAAATATTCAAATGTTATCATGGAATTAATTGCAGTATTTTTCATTCAATCTTTATTTAGACAGATTAATCCCATTGAGCCTCGGGGACTCATTTACAAGAGAGACCTGATTATACACATATATATGTATATGAAAACATAAAAGTCTGATTCAAACCAGCTGACATAAGGCTGAAAAAAATGTGATTGTGATATTATTGAATATCGCAGGGATGCACGATAATGGCATATCGGATATCGTCCAAAAATCCAATATGTTAAAACTTGTTTGGCCGATAACCGATATAAACACCAATATTTTTTCCCTACATCTACTTACAGAGACTAAATAGCTTTTTCTGCTGTGGAATTAAATACTACATTATTCTGCATGGTCTTTGGATGAAAGGACAGCTGGTGATGTTTTGTTTCTCCGTGGTTGACCCTTCTCTTGCTTTCCTTTCTGGCCAACTCATCGTAATGGTCAGAATGGTGGTTCTTGAGATGGTTAATTACGTTTCAAGTGTTGTAGGACTTCGTTTTTGCTCCTTCTCGCATCACTGACGCAGAGCAGTCATTGCAAATAGCAGTTCTGCTATCAGTTTCTGACGCTACTATTCCGATAATATTGTGCATCCCTAGAATATTGTGATAACACTATCAGTTAAAATAAAACCACATTTTCCTCCTTTCTTTTTAGACTCTTATGTGAGGGCTATAATTTTTCTGGTATTGTGCCCATGGCAATCTACAGAGGAGGTCAACGGTTAACAAGCGAGCCTGCTGGGAGCCCAATCATAGCCAAAGCACATCCTTCTCGGACAGTCACACACTGACTGCCCCCTCAGACTGGACGCATAGACGTGGTCAATTTTTAGGTTTTATTTTATTAAAACAAATGCAATTTGTGATTTACTCACTCCAACACGTCCAAATTCACAAGCAAGGTCCAGTGGAGTTTTTCCAGCTGAGTCTGAGATACATGGGTTGGACTGGTGTTGCAGTAACATTTCAGACTGTAAAACACACACAAAGCACACTGGTGCATCTGATTGTCCCATCTTCTAGCAACAAAAATTTCATGCATGGATCATCAAGTGTGCATAACAGCTCACACCTCACAAACATACACACAGAATTACAGAGTTACCCCATCGTAGTGTCCATGCTGCGCTGACAGATGCAGAGGGATCTGGCCTTCATCTGACTGTCCGTTGACTGACGAGCCTGCTTTCAGCAGCATTTTCATTGGTTCAGTCTTCCCCTGCCATGCAGCATAATGCAGGGGACGCATTCCTACACAAAACACACAGACACACACACATACATACACACAAAGACAAACACATACAGAAAACACACAGACAGAAAAGAGCACAACACAGACATACAAGACCCCACAAGCACATGCAAACAGACACAAAAATGATCATATAAATAAGCATGCAAACACTGTAAAAAATATTTACATCAATCAAGTTGCAACTAGACAGGTAGCAAGTATTAAAATACATTATACATTTTTATTCCAACTTTTATTGGTTCCAATGAATCTCTGAACTTAATTACAGGCAAATGTTCCGATCACTTACTGACTACATCGTGCTTATTGCAAAAATTATATATATATTTTTAATGTTTTGCCATCTGGATGAGTTATCACAGGAGCTGAAATAAAGAAATGTGCACAAGAGCTCACACATTACTGGGTTAAGTGATAATTTACACTATTATGTAACAAAAGCTGTTATTATTTAAAAGGCACTTTGATAAAAAAAATTTGGTTATTCAGAAATGGTAAAAAAAAAAAAAGCATGCTTTAGAGGGGTTTTGTGTGTGTGTGTGTGTGTGGGGGGGGGGGGGGTGTATTCTCATTTTGGACACTCTTAGCTAAAAAAAAATTAAAAATCTGAGATGTATTTTTGTTATGTTGCTGATAATAAAAACAATTTGAGTACTACCCAAATGTGGATAAAATATTTTAACAGATTTCTGTAACATTTGTGTCACTGAATCGCTACAGACACAGTCTCTCAGCTTTAACTCCTAAAAATAGCACCCTCCTTATAGAAGTCGACATCTTTATGACCCTTGTGTAACCCTGAAACAATTGTTTGTGTCGAGCATCACACTCATGAGACACTTAAGGCAACAAAGATGAGACAAAGGGCAAGAAGACCCTTATCAGTGTCTTAACGTGGCCCAGGAGGACAATGCAGGCAGCTGAACATCAATGAACTTCTGGAGCCATGCAGAGAATGGACAATGATATGAAGTACAGCTGGGGACATTACAGTCACTTAGATTCAGCAACTAAAAAGAAGCAGTGTGCAAGACCACTATTTCTTTATATTGGAAATAAATTTCATTATCAAACTGAGTACAGCCAGTGAGCAATAGATCCCCCATGAAATTTCATTCCTCCTTTTTTATTTTAATGGAATTCTCAAAAAGCATCTGATTAACTTTTGGAATAAACCTGTCAAGATATGTGGTGCACCGGCTGCACTGGTAGACACTGTCCATGATCAAAGCAGACCTGGACCCCGCATGCAATTATTGTCAACAAGCTCCAGCTACACCCCTGCATACATTCTGGACCTGTCCCAAACTGAAGACTTTTTGGCAATCTATTTTTGACACCTTCTCTGGGATATGTGGGAGAACTGTTCATCCATCACTGTTCGGGGTGGTCCCTGTGGATATGTCTTTCAGCAAGTACGAAAATAATGTGATTGTGTTTGGCTCTAATCTGGCCAGAAGGCTTGTCTTGTACAATTGGAAGAACCCACACACCTCAGCATATGTGCATTGGATAAGAGAGGTGGTGTTGTATCATATTAATTTAGAAAAAAATCAGATATGCCCTGAAGGGTTCTGTTAAAAGATTTTGGAACACTTGGCAGCCTTTTATGTTGCAAGCACTTTGTTAACAGTTGCTGTTTTAAATGTGCTTTATAAATAAATTTGACTTTACTTGTATGTGGAAAACTTGTCAATGCCTGTTTAGTTCATTTGTGTGTTCGTGACTGATCCAGTATGGGAGGGGTTTTTTATTCTTTGTGTTCACCTTTTTGTTTGTATGTCCAAAAAAAAACAAAAAAAAAAAAAACACTTTGTTTAAAAAAATATAAAAAAAACCTGAGTAATGATGGCTGCCACAGCTAATTAACCTTAACAAAAGCGGCTAACGTGGACTTTGTCCACAAAGAAACACTGTCTTTCCAAAACACTTTTTTTTATGTAGACATGGCAACATTTTTAAAACTGTTTTTATCCACATGGAAACAGAAAAACACCTTAGTGGTGTATTAACTATGTCGGGTTTGTATGTGGTGTTTCCTGAAAATACACCCGAAAAAGGAAAGAAGGCGTGGAGCAAACACTTTCAACTGTAAATGAAAAAGAAAAAAAAAAAGACTATAGGTGTATTTGGTGTGACAATGAAGGGTTTTTGTTTAGTTTTATTTGAGACAGTATTATTATTTATTAGACTTTGTTCACTAAAGTAAAACAGGATACAAGAGTTTTGCTGTAGTTGAGCATCTACAGTGCAAACACAAGAATGGAGTTTGTCAGTAATGTTGTTTCTTTGTTACGTTTGGGGTGAGACTGGAGGTGGGAATGTAACGCCATTATTTTCCAAAGGTCGCATTTAGGCTATCCACGTGAGAATGCACCATTGGTGTTTAAGGACTTTCTTACTCTGGAACTTGGTTTCGAAAGATACCATTTAGGGACTCTTAAAAAACATTTTCTACATGGATGCAAGGCTGAAACAAACAAAAAAACTTTGTCAATCCCCAAAATCCCATACGGGGCTTGTGCTGTGCTCAGTTAGTAATATCAACAGTGAAGTAAAAAAACAAAGAAGCCCTAAATCAGAAGACAGTTTCCTAACTCCAGTATTGCAAACATTTTCTAACTGCCTGTATTTGACAACAACATAATAAAACACCTGAATGTGGTAATGACTTACTGTGTCGGTATGCCACCCCACTGTTAACAGTGACTTCAATCTGGTCAACTCTTTGAAAACTTTGTGCAGGTCCCTTTAGGTTAAAGAGGCCCAATTTTTGATCCACTGTCTACTTATCCATGAGGTTTATGTCGTGCAAACTGTGCTTTCTAACAACACAATAGAGCCAGTAAAGACAGAGAAGGCTTTAAGTCAATAGTCATTCAAATCATGAGCAGAGAAAAAAACTAACAATGACAAGGACACTTGTTTTGAGATGATAGGATAGATATGGCGTCACCTCAGTTTGAACCTTCCATGTTCCAGCTGCAAGTCTGAATACTAGTGGGAATTTCAAACTGTTGTGTTCAGTGACACAGCTAGCTATGGTTAGCAAAACAAGCAGATTTATCCGCATTTTAGGCCTTCAAATGCTGCTACAACATATTTCTTAATAGAGCTGTACAATACTATCTCTGTGACTGATTTAATGAGATACCATCCAGCAAAAGTGAAAATAAAAAATGTATATCTACTGCATATATTACTGCAGCTGTCATCACTTTTTACCATGTAAAACTTTGAGGTGCGAAACCTCCAATCCTCCAAATCAGAACTACAACTTAAAGGGAGCGTTCCAGCTTTGTTTGTCGACACACATTTTCACTCCTACAAAAAGAAATGCAAAAGAACAAAAGAAACACAAGAATACTGTTTGAGGAGATTTGTTGTTGAGCTCACTTACCACCATGAACGGGGACTAAAACTGCATTGAATTAAGGAAGGGAAATCTTCAACATAAGGTGGTATGAAGGGAAATTACCTCCAGGGAGCTTCACAAATTTTGCAGAAAGTAAAAGCAGGGGGGACATTTTCCTGACTGTGTAAAGAATGGGCAACACTAACCTTGACACCTCTGAGGAAATTCATGCAATGACTTGGCCTACTTTCAAGAAGTTTGGTGCATTGGTAAAAAAACCCTTTTTGTTAAGACATTATAGTTGACCTGGTAAATTTCCTGGTTTACAAATTAAACAATTAAGCAGGTTTAGATTGTTTTTAGTAAAAATTATACTGTAAAAGGAGAACTTCATCATCACATTAATTTTTCTCAGACAAGAATTACACAAGTTTTATGAAATAAGCGCAGTAATCCAAACTCAATGGGTTTTCAGCTGTTGGAAATACCCTTTTTTGTGCTCCAAAGATTATCTTGGCAGAACTGTTAGGCGAACTGTTTGCCCCATTTCCTTTGTGATGTTTTTGGACAGGAAATCAGGCGCAGAGGCTCAGGCTTGCAGGAAGGCCGGGTCATTGAACATCAACTGGCATTTTCCCAAACAGAAGATACGGCTTCCTTCAAGACAATGACAGCACGTAACAACTGTTTGTGGGTTGAATCTTGAGCTTGCACTCGCTCTATTATCCCCGTGTCTTTTTCAGGATATTTACTGTATATCAAGCTTTAGCTACGCAATACTTTTCGGGTAGGCACTTCTTGTTATTAACTTTGTGGTTTTGTTTGCCGTCTGGTTCTGAGCAGAGAATCTCCCTAAGTTTGAAGTGATTTGTACAGCCAATGGTTCTCCATACAGCTTCCCTTTCAAATCATGCTTTTATTATACCTCAGAGGTGGAATATAAACTTTTCACTTATTGCTTTGTTAATAACTGCAACTTCTTTCTCATCAACAGTTAAACAGTTCGCCTAATTTCATAAGGATTTTTGTGAAAAACATTCTTTCAGTATCCAACAAAGTTCAGTCAGGTTGTCTGGATGTTTTTTGTTGTTGTTGTTGTTGAGACGTTTCGTCCTTCATCCAAAGAACTTCATCAGTCCGAGGAGCCACAAACAAACCGAATCCCAAAAGCAGCACACCCACATAGTGGATCAACCAGTTTGCTGGTGATAAGATGGTTTCTGGGGTCTGCCCTCTCCCCCATCGACTCCTCTGAGGCAGCCATAACTAAACTGGTTCAAAACATCAACGTTCATGCTCAATAATCCAGGTAGAAAATCCAACAAGGTTCAGTCAGGTCATTTGGACGTTTCTTTTTTTTTGTTGTTGAAATGTTGCGTCCTTCATCCAAAGGACTTCATCAGTCCGAGGAGCCACAAACAAATTTAAGTCCCAAAAGCAGCACATCCACATACAGGACCAACCAGTTGGCTGACTGGTCTACTATGTGGGTGTGCTACTATCTCTGATTGATGAAGTCCTTTGGATGAAGGATGACACATCTCAACAAAAAAAGAAACCGTCCAGATGACCTGATTGAACTTTAGAATTTCAACCTAGATTATTGAGCATGAACTTTGATATTCTTTCAATATTTTGTCTTAAATTTTGTCTCTAAAAAAGTGAAAACAGATTAAGGGTTTTTGGAGTTGATAATGTATGTGACAGAGAAGTTGTTTCTCTCTTGTTCTTCAGCCTGTAGTACAGCGTTCACGTTCTCTTCTTTGCTTTTCCAACCATAAATAAAATACTGCATCTCTCATTGAAGTATAGGTGAGAACAGACGGCAAGCAAAAACAAACCAATACAAAGACGGTGCTAAAGTGATAAACTGGAGTTGGTATTCACCATAAAATCATGTGGTCACTACTAAAGTAAAAGTTAAAATATTAAAAAAATATCAACTAACGGCTTGTATTACTTGTCCTTTAAAATATTGGCTGTGTCAAGTTCAAAAAGCTGAAAGGAAACATGTTTCTATTGTTTAAATGAGAGGGGAATAAATGTTTGTCGATTCGATGGAGCAAAATCCTCCAGATGGTAGGAGGGTAAACAGCTTCTATTAACCTGAGCCAGGTCCCTCAACAAGACTGTGCCAAAGAGGAGGATCATAACCAACTATTAAGAGTTGAACTGCAGAAGAGGGAGATGTAAGTACGTGGGAACAGCCAGGTTGTCGACTCATCTGGGTGTGATTTACTCTGTGTGCGAGTGTGAACCGTCAGACTAGGTGCTTTCAGTGCTCTTCAAGGGGTTTTCAGAGTAATTTGTATTGTTAAAAATATAAAGACCTCACAGAAAATGCGAGGAGTGAAGTCTCAAACTGGGTAAAACAGCTGCAGATAAAATAGCTTGAAAAACAGGGTGTTGGAAAGCTCTTGTAATATCATCCAGTTGTATTTTTTTAAATGACACTTTTAAAATTGTATTGCACTGCACAGTGTGAGCCCTACAATGGACGTCAAATGGAGGAGCACAACCAAGAAGTGCTTCATGAATTACACTTTTGTAGTGAGTAATTTGATGTTTCTACAGCATGAAAACAAAAAACCCTCACTGAGGAGGTAGGGCCATGTGGTAAAGATGCTTGCCAGGTGTTTGCTTGTGTTTAAGCACAAACAAGGGCATGACTGACTGAGTGAAGAGACTAGGCCAACATCCTGCAGGGATTATAACTCCCATCTGCCCAGAGATTTCCTCTTTTTCCTTTTATACCAATGTTGCCAATGTTGGATGGAGATATTTGCTGCTCGGATTCCATTTGGCTCTCAGTCCTGCAGCCATCAAGCTTTTATCCTCTATTTCTATTATTTACTGTGAAAACAAATCTGTCAGCTTCTCTCACAAAAGAAAAAACAATAATGTTACTGCCTTTCCAACAAGCTCACTTTTTATTGCATAAGCCGGTATTATTTGTCATACAGTAGAAAGCCAGAAATGTGCTTTTGTATTCCTGTGTCTCTTGTTTTAATCTTTTGTTTCCTGGGCAGATTTGTGGATTTGGCATCTTTTTGTGCGAGTGTTAACTTAGAGTTGCAGAGATGGTGCAAAAATCAGAGTTTTTGTTTTTTACCTTTATTGTCTTTGATATCCACCGCTGCCTGGGCCTCCAGCAGCAGAGAGATCAGCTCCTTGTTACCACTCAAGGCAGCATGATGCATAGGTGACAACCTTTAACACACACAGACACAGAATATTTGTGAAAATAATCACATTTAGGCTGTGTGAGCCATGAGTATAACTTTACTGAATTAATCTTCAGCGTACAGCCGCTCCGCCTCTCAGCTCAATTGTGAAAGATGGGAGGGGGGCAATGACCTAGTTCCATTAATAAGCAATCTTGCTACCCTGGAGTGGAGCGTACAAGCAGAGCATCTACGTGTGAATGTGTTTGTGTGTGTCTAATGGATCCCTTGTGAATATAAGAGTTGGTCCCTGGAGTTAAATCACTGAGTCATCAGTCATTACACGAGGAGCTGAGCCCATTTGTTTGATTCCAACTAACACAATTATAAAATAATATTCATTATGTAATGAGGCAGAATTATAAACCAAGCATGTCCACACAAAGGTTTTCACTAATTCTGTACCAAATATAGATATAACTACGAGATGAACATTTAAACATAATGAAGGAGAATGTCTGGAAACGGTGTTTAGCCTAAAGATCAAATAAATCACAATTGGAGCAGGACGAAATCCTCACAGTATGATGACCTTGAGCAAAACCACCAAGGTTACAAAGTTTTACGATATTAAAAAGAACATTTCAAAAGTACCACATGACGCAATTGATTTTATTTTTACTGCAGCTAAAATATCACATTTGGTATACCGTTTTTTTTCCCGGAGTATAAGTTGCATCAGTCAAAAAAAAAAAAAATCATGATGAGGAAAAAACATTTGCAAGTCGCATTTATTATGTGTCACCACTGACCCGTCGCATTTATTATGCATTTATTTAATGGTCAAAACAGCTTCATTTCATATGGACGGCGGCGCCATCCATCCATCCATCCATCCATCATCTATCCATCCATCCTCCATCCATCCATCGCGGTCGGAGCCATAGCTCTCCAGCGTTCCTCCACCTGCACCAGCTGAGTGAAGTGAGCATGCACAGGAGGACTTGCTGTTGCAGTTCTTCAAAATTTAACAAGCTTAACACTTAAAAACAATTATTTGTTTGCTCGACATTATAGCAAAAGTGTGTCTCAGTTTCAGTTTTCCTTAATAAATGCTCTTTAATGGTCAAAACAGCTTCATTTAGCAGAGCGACATGGCGCCATCCATCCATCCATCCATCCATAGCGGATCCACAGCTAATCAACGTTAGCAAAACAAATATGGCTATAACGCAGTCAATTTTACAGATGTAGAGCAAAAATTTGAAGCCAGATTAGAAGTTTAAAACTTTGGTATGCAAGGCAACAGGAAATATTAATTTTTTTTAGCAGTGCTAGTTTTTTCCCCCCAGTTAAAACAGGCAATGGGTAAAAAAAAAAAAGAAGAGTTGTGATGACAAAGGTGTGACAACAAAGAGCAGCCTCTCACCCGTCTGCATCCTGGATGTTGACGTTAACTCGTTTTGCTGCTCCAAGGAGTTCTGAAAGAGAAACAAAACGTTAGAAATATCATTGGGGGAAAAAACTGTCTAAATTCAGACTTCAAGTCATTAGCAAATATGTTCAGTTCAGTTGTACAAACTGCTGATTTTTGATGCCCTGCTGGTGGTGTTAAGTCAACACTTTCACAACTGCGACAATTCAAAAGCCACCGTCTGCCTTTAAAACAATGAAGAGATTAAAGAGAAGTGAAGGCGTCATGAAGACAGGAGCTCTGGCAAGTTTAACTGGTAGGTTTAGATGCTCAGTCTGTGATTTTGCATGAAAAATTAAAAAATTACTTCATATTTGAAACAAATGTATGTATTAGGATATTACCATGCCATACCGCTTTATTTAGAGAGCACTTAAAACATCAACAAGGCCAACCAAAGTGCTGCACAGGACAAGCAAAGCACACAGCAAACAAATAAAATACAGTAAAATAAAAATATAGATATGAATGGAAGATAATGACTAAATGGCTAACATTGTAGAATACAAACAGGTTAAGAACAAATCACACTTTGTATTGCTCTAGAAGGCATTTTAGCTAGAGCAAGAGGATACAACCTGACCAAGAAATAGTACATAACATAACCTACAATAAACTTCAATTGGCTTTTATTTTAATTTTAACATAAAGAGACCGATGAGCAATTTTAAAAATCTTATTAACCAAAACTAAACAAAAACTCAAGAGAAAGGCAGCTCAGAAAATTCAGAAGATTTTGCAACGAGTGTCAGGGAAATTCAGATAAAGGTTCTGCGGGATCAATAAAGTTCTATCTTATCTTATGTTAATCACTGCTAATGTTAAATTAATGTTGAACCATGCGTGTGAGTCACGACAGTTATTGTCCTTTCAGAAAGGAACTACATGTGCAGTTGGTAATCCAAGTTCACCTCCGAGTCTGTGCTGAGAGGCCGAGGTCATCGTGCTGATAAGCATGTATAAAAAGCACTTCTTGTACACTGTCCAGAGCAGATCTTCGCAACCGGGGCTTCAATGAAACATCTGTGTAAGCCAATGGTAAACTCTTCCCTTGCAAGTAAACTGGGTTAAAAAAAAAAAATCTTCTTTTGTCTTCGTGTGTGGCTCTTTTTAAAGTAAGTAGATAATGAAAGGGTATTTTTATCCAACAATGAGGAAATGAAGCCTCCGGGTACTCCGGTTTCCTCCCACTGACCAAAAACATGCATGTTAGGATGAACGATAACTAAATTGTCCCGAGGTGTGAGTGAGAGAGTGAATAGTTGTTTGTCTATGTGTCCCTGTGATGGACTAGAGATCTGTCCAGAGTGTCCCCAACCTCTCATACAGTAAGTGCTGGATATGGGCACCAGTGACCACCGCGACCTAAAAATGAAACGTGGGTAAAGATAACAGATGGATGCAAGGGCGTCAGAAGCATCCGTAATGCGGGGGGGACATGATGTGTGTATGTGTGCGCACGCGTGCGTGTGTGCGCGCGTGTAAAAAAAGTCGACGCTAGTGTACAAAAAAGCAACATTTCACCTAGATTTCCTTTAATTCCACACATTTAAAGCATGTTTCTCACCAAGAGGGCGGCTGTGGCTGAGTGGTTAGAGCAGTCGTCCTCCAATGCGAGAGTTGGGGGTTCGAATCCACCAGCAGTCACATGCTGAAGCGTCCCTGGGTAAGACACTGAACCCCTCAGAGCCTCTGATGTGTGTCCCATCAGTGTGTGAATGTGATCTAAAAGCACTGATTAGTCTCTTTAGAATGATTTGTTCAATTAGCTTTGTAGAGATCTAGTAGAGTGCTGTATGAATGGGTAAATGAGGCACAGATTGTAGTGTAAAGCACTTTGAGTATCTTGAAATAAGATAGAAAGGCGCTATAGAAGTACAGTCCATTTACCATTCACCAAGTTTGTGTAAATTCAGCTGTAGGGTTTTAAATACATTTTAACTTTAATGTACTTGAACACACAGCATCCGGTCGGCACTATTTGTGTTTATAGAGAAATAAAAAACATAACCACTAGACTTTTTTACTTGTGTTCACCACTACTCATCTAAATGATGTTTCTCACGAAGCTTGGAGGACAATAAGGTGCCAGGTTTTAAAGATATTTCAACTTTAATGCACCTGAACACACAGCGTCTCTTACACCTGCAGCGTCTTACAGCGTCACAGTTACTGCTAAGCTAACATGCTACAGATGTAGCGCTCCTCTCAATATATCTATATATGTTGTTTGGTCAATAAAACAAACAAAAAAACAAAAATACCTCAAACTAATTTCCTGAAATTCAAATTTTACTTTTTTTTTGTTTAGTCTGAACAAAAGATCAAATCCTAAAGATACAAGGATTACCAAACATAATTAGTGTACAAAAATATATAAACAATACATTATTTAAATTTCTGAATCTTTTATATAAAGCTTGTATAATAAAAGTCTGACAACAAATTCTTGGCTCAGATATGTAGCTATGAAAATAGCTGGTTACTGAAAATGTCATTGCCATATGTTTTCCGCTCATTATGTGCGATTTTGCTTCAGTGCATAGCATAATTGTGTAATTACTGTATGTCCTTATGTGATTATATAACTCATCATTTGCACATTTAATAACTAGCATCGATTGTTAAGGGAAGATAAAAGCCAAGAAATGTCAGAAAACGAAGAAATTTGCTTGCTTGCCTTGTTGCCTCTACTTTTTATGTTATTTGGTCAAACCCTCTTAATCCACTGGCTATAATCTGTGGCTGTTCTGTAATCTGTGGAAAAGCTTTTCCCTCTCCGTGCAGCCTGATCTGCTCCTCATGCCGTCATTCTGTTCTCACACTCTAATTTTCTCCTGTAATTTGCTAAAGAGCGAGTGCTGATTGGTGGTTCTGCTGGTTCTGTTTACACTCTGCAGCTGACATCATTTTCCTTGGTGTGAGTGTGTTTTAAGAGAATGAGTGGCTGCTTGTGTGCACGTTTAGTTTCCCCCGTATCTATGTTGGATTAAAAATAAAAACCAAACCATCTCCCGGTTGATAAATCTGTGCCATCATCAGAGCACCACTGGGCTGCAGGAACCCCCAAAGTTTCCTCACAGAGCAGCACCAACAGAAATCCTACTATTTTAATTATTAACTTTTATACTCAATGGTTTTTGCAGCGGGTGGCACAGTGACTTGGTTGGCAGAGCCGCTGCTTCTCAGCGAGAAAGTCTCTGGGCCAAATCCCGACAGGGCACCTTTCTGGATGGAGTTTGTATGTTCTCTCTGTGCATGTGTGGGTTTTCTCCAAATACACCGATTTTCTCCCATATGCACATTAGGTTGATTAGTAACTCTAAATTGTCCCTAGGTGTGAGTGAGAGAGTGAACAATTATCTCGTTCGTCTCAGTTGTCCTGTCATGGACTGGAGACCTGTCCAGGGTGTCCCCTGCCTAGGCCTGTCATGATAACAAATTTTGCTGGGCGATTAACTGTTGCAGAAATTATTGTGATAAACAATAATATAGTTTGAAATTTTACAAAAATTAGTGATTATTGTCAAATTTAAAATGAAATGTTTATTTGTTTTGCATGTAGTACCTTTTTTGACCACTGGATGGCAGTATAAGACTGTTTGAACCGAAGGATGGATAGTGAGGGAGAGCAGCATGTCTCTAAGAAAAATGGGAGGGAGGCCCCTTGACGTGACATGGGCAGTCTCTTTTCGGTTCTCAAAATGGCAGACGCTGGTGGTTTGAGCTCTTTAGCATAGCATTTTTTCACACAAAGCTTTTAATTTAAGAAAAAAATAAGTAAACAAGTTCTCAGCTTCTTTTTGCAAAGAAAAACAACTTTTTATACAAAAGCACGGGTTTCAACTGTGAATTTTGGAGATTTGATAAGACGTTTTTTTTCCAGAGGTTAGCCTGTTAGCTTAGCTCGTGGCTTAGTTTCTCAGCTTAGCTGCTTTTAACGATCCAAAATCGCGCTTTTGGATCGTTAAAACGGATTTTAAAGAAAAAAGAGAAAGGGAGGAGTCAGTGAAGAGCACTGGAGTTGAGCTTTTTGTCATCCAGTTTCTTCAGTAGAAAGAGAGACACAAAGAAAGGATAAAGCCGTTAAATGAAAATGAGGTCGATAATTTTCATTTATCATGCAATTAATTGATTTACTGTTTATCGCGACAGAGTAAGTGGAGAAAACATGCATTTACGGAGAGAACATGCAAACTCCACCCAGAAAGGTCCCGGGCCAAGATTTGAACCGGCAACCTTCTTGCTGAGAGGCAACAGCTCTACCAACTGAGCCATCAGTCGCCTGATTCCACTGAATCTTGAAATAAAATTCTGAAAAATGGGTACAGAACCACATTTAAAGAGACTGGACCCTGCAATTAACAGAATAAGTTATCTTAAGAGCATGAATGTCCCCACAAGCTGAGCCCAAAAGCTTATGTTATGGCTTTTACTAACAGTGGGAAGGACAAGCAATGGTTTCTGCTAATAAATCAGAAAAAGGTATTTTTTAAATAATTTGTAGTTTGTCATTTAAAAGAAAATGGAAAATACTTAAGAAATTTCCCAAACGTCTCAGTGAGTTCCCTCTGAGATCAAACTGTTCAGTCTGCAGACAAATATGAGTGACAGAACAAGTATGAGTTGTTAATAAGACAGGAGGAGATGTCTAAAAGGAACATGGCAGCGCAGCTTTGTTTAGTAAAGTTGCCTTCATACAAACCACAAGTTCTGACAAAACCTCAGTTTAACAAACAAAACACAAGTGAAAGTGTTTAACCATCAAGCACTGTGTCACTTTGGTTGAAAACCAAACACAGCACATCCCAGACAAACACCTCCATTCAATTCAATTTCAATTCAATTTATTTATATAGCTCCAAGTCACAACAGAAGTCATCTCAGGACACTGAACAGAAACATTCATATATTAAAAATAATAATTTAACACTATTTATCTGAGGAGCAGACTGCTTTGAGTTTAACTCCATCACAGAACTCTCATCTTGAGCAAGCATGAAGGCGACAGTGGAAAGGAAAAACTCCCCTCATGAGGAAGAAACCTTTAGCAGAACCAGGCTCAGGACAAGCGGCCATCTGCTTCGACCAGCTGGGATTGAGAGGAACAGGAAGGAGGAACAGATACACAATGGCAGGTCAAGAATCACATGTTAAGATAGAAATAGTATAAAAATGAAAACTATTCAATTTTAACAATTAATTTAAAGAACTGAGATCAATTTGTCCTCCAGTATTCTAAATCTATAGCAGCATAACAAGCCAAACCTAACTATAGGATTTATCAAAAAGGAAAGTCTTAAGCCCAGTCTTAAAACAGGACAATGTGTCAGCCTTACGGATGGACACTGGAAGTTGGTTCCACAAGAGAGGAGCCTGATAACTGAAAGATCTTCCTCCCATTCTGCTGTTGGAAACTCTAGGAACCGCAAGTAAACCTGAAGTCTGAGAGAAAAGTGCTCAGTTAGGAAAATATGGAACAATAAGATCTCAAATATAAGATGGAGCTAGGTTGTTGAGAGCTTTGTAGGTTAGAAGTAAGATTTTGAATTAAATTCTGGATTTGACAGGGAGCCAGTGGAGAGAAGCTAAAACTGGAGAGATATGATCTTTCCCATTAACTCCAGTTAAGACTCTGGCAGCAGCATTTTGGATTAACTGAATACTTTTTAAAATAAGTATTTGTACACCCAGATAATAAACCATTGCAATAGTCCAGTCTAGATGTGGCAAAAGTGAAGGGGTGATAATTTGGGTTTGTTTAGCGGCTACAGGGTTGTAACTAAATATTCCAGACTCAAATATGAGTACATCTATCCAGCAGTTGAAGTTTTAAGCATAAAACAAGACAACAATACCAAACACAGAAGCAAATCTACAACAATGGCCATAATTCAGGTAAAGTCCAGATTTCACGTTGATTAAAATGCTGTGGTGGGATC